TTAACCAAAATGTCACCGTTGGGACCAAAACATACAACATGCAATAAAAAGGAATCTTAAACATACATGAGGTTTGATTTGGTCAGACGAATATGGGGGATTATTCATTTCCATATTATTATTTTTAACCGTTTTTAGGGAAAAGTCGACTGATGCAGACTCAATTTGTTTGACATGTCACGAAGTTGAATCCGGCGAAAATCATCAGTGCTGGAGCAACCCCACTGTAACCGGTCTTTTGAAACCCATTCGGAAAGATGGGTTCAGATTTTACTGCAAACCATGCAAAAAGAAGTTTTTCTGTAGGAAACGTCTAGCGATGCATAACAAAGCTGAACACGAAAGGCTCGACTATAAATGTCAACAGTGCCACAAGATTTTTAAAAATCAGGACGCTCTCGATGATCATCTATCTAACCACCAACATATGAAGGACAAAGCGAAACCATTCACATGCAGAGTGTGCAAAAAGGAATTTTCCACAGCTGTAAAGTATTGTAAACACAAATTGATTCACCATAAAGAATTCAAATCGGTTTGATTGCCATAACATACTGATAAAGTCATTTTATTAACCCTACTATACTACAACTATTTAAAACTGTAATGACCCATTCGCGTGATCAACACGTGATCAGAGCTCGATCCCGGCTTCCTTCCCGTACAGCCGTATAGCGTACGACATATGTCGTTTCTGTGGCTTTGCGGTGGTCAACAGCACAGACAGAGATGGAAATAATGGCTGATTGTTCTCCGCCGGTAGAACCAATGAAATCAAAGACGCGCCTCGACCGGCAGACTCATAGGCGTCGGCAACGCATTGGAACGTGTTTCGTTGAGCGATCGCATATTGTGTGTTTTTATAAGAATTGTTGTGTGTTTCTGTGGTTACTGTTTTGGTTATACTTAACCATGGAGAGTACAAATGGCACGAGTGGAAGTACTGAAAGTCAGGGAACAAGTAGACGGCTTCGTAAAGCACTGAAGAGGGACGCGGAAGAAATCGTGCTCAACGTGTTCAATTATCTGAACAGAACTGTGTCGCAGGGAGATGCACTCGCGCGTTGTGAAAGTATGACAGGCGTTCCAGAGTGGACCATTCGCAGGGTGGTGCATGAAAAGAAGAAAACTGGAGCTACTACTGATCCAAAGTTTAATTTGAAGGGACGAATGGCCGTTAAATTGGATGACGATAGCAAAATGGCGTTAAGGCGAACCGTACACTCATTCTTCTTTAGGAATGAGATACCAACCCTCAAGGCTGTACATGCAGCGATCAAGGAAAATGAAATTATACCCCAAATGAGCGTCGAGGTAATGAGGAAGTCCCTGCACGAAATTAATTTTCGTTTCGAAACGCGTAATCGGAAGTCAGTATTAATAGAGAGACCTGAAATAGTCGCCTGGCGTCGAAAATACCTACGCGAAATGATTGAATATAGGCGACAAAGCAGAAAAATCTATTATTTGGACGAGACATGGGTAAATGCAGGTCACACAGTTAAAAAACCTGGATAGACAAAAACGTAGTGAGTAACCGACAAGCAAGCATTGAAGGTTTGTCAACAGGTCTTCGTGGACCGTCAGGGAAAGGTCAAAGATTGATCGTAACTCATATTGGTAGCGATAGTGGCTTTTTAGAAGAGTGTGACTTCATTTTCGTCCCTAAGAAAGGAGGTGATTACCATGACGAAATGAATGCCAGCTACTTCGAGAGCTGGTTTCAAGGGGTGCTTCAGCGAGTTGAGCCCAACTCTGTAATCGTCATGGATAATGCTTCCTACCATAGTCGTCGAGCCGAACGTGTACCGACTATGGGATCTCGAAAAAGTGACATGCAGCAATGGTTGCGCGAAAAAGGAATGCCGTTTGACGATTCATGTGTGAAAGCGGAATTGTATGAAAAAATTAAACAGCACAAACCTGCGAACATTAGTTACGTGACTGATGAGATGGCCCGTCAATGTGGTGTCACTGTGCTGCGGTTACCGCCCTACCACTGTGAACTGAACCCAATAGAGCTCATCGGGGTCAAGTGAAGGGTTATATTGCGCGCCATAACACAACCTTCATATTACCAGACGTTAAGGTTTTACTTGAGACTTCCATACAGCTAGTAATGCCCGAAGCTTGGCAGAATGCTATCCGTCATGTTGTGAAGGAAGAAACAAAAATGTGGCAGCTTGACCACCACATCGACACCATCATTGAGCCAGTTATAGTCAATTTCAACGGGGAAAGCGATAGCGACAGTTTATTACTGTCAGATGTAAGTGGAAGCGACGATGAATAAAGGTAATTCCCAAATTTTTTACTTACAATATGTTTCAAACCACTCTTTATTAAGCATGTGACAAATCTGGTTCACCCATGTTAAACATTCATACCCCGCCTATGAACAGCCGACTACTGGTAGTTAAGTGATGTTCACGTGAACATCGATGAGTCTTTACAGTTTTAAATAGTTATAGTATATCTAAACAGCATATTTTGGTAGTACTCACCGTATTTCTTTTTTGTTATCAATTTTTGTCTACAATCATTTTTGAGTTGTATGCAGAAGAGGTACAGGTGTACAGATGTTAGCAACGGCTTTTAACTTAGATAGTTAAGCTTTAAAAATTATTATCGATACGTTTTTACTTTCTGACATAATGTTTATGCACTGATTAATTTACGAGTAAAATATTTTCTATTGAATGTAAAGCAGAAATACAACTGTGAAATAAATGAAAATCAATTATTATAAAAACAGAGCTATACGAAACAGGCAAGTATAATAATAGTAATAATAAGTTTAAATTACTCTCAACGTATAGAAAAATAAATACAAACATGGATAAAATATATAAATGACACTAATATTATCAGTGTTATACATATTTGATGTAACTACTCTGATAACTAAATAAATAATATTTTTAGTAGCAAAAGTGAGAGGTAAGTATTTTTGATGTATTTTTAAAAGTTTTCAAATGGCAAAGGTATTTGCTTATGACTTTTTGCGTAATTATCAATAGCCTTTAAATCTTCATTTATTTGAGATTCTGCAACTATAATTTTGTCATTATTGAAATTGTTGTATAATCGAGAATTATCCGCAAATAATTGTATATGGCAATATTTTACCGCTTTGTCTAGATCAGCTATGTAAAGAGTAAAAAGTAGTGGTCCAAGCACTGTTCCTTGCGGCATTCCCGACGAAACAAAAGTTGGTGAGGAGTTCATATCAATGAAAACTTTTTGATATACGTTTCTTATGAATACATGCATAATAAATAATAATAATACCAATCGAAGAGTCAGAAAAATCGTAATATATACTAAGTGACATATAAATCCGAACACCCAGTTTAAATGGTTTTATTTTAATAAAAGTTGGTGAATGTATTTATCTTACTGTAAATAACAAGTGAAAAAATTTTCAGCCTTATCAGTTGGACATTCCGGTTTTTATACTGCTTTTTTTTTAATTCACTAACGCTCTAAAAATGAATATTTCAGCCGCAGTAAAGAATCAACGTTGGCGGATTTTGGTTCTTGACATCCTTTACGATCGGTTACGATGCCTAGAGTACGGAGACCTGTACGATTTCGTCAACTTAGTGAGTTTGATAGGGGCCGTATAGTGGGACTTCGGGAAGCTAGACTTTCTTTTCGGGCAATTGCAGTTAGAGTGCAAAGAAGTGTAGACACTGTGGTTAGGTGTTGTCAGGCATGGCTTCGAGAAGGCCGTACGTAAAGAGCAAGGGGCACTGGACGCCGCCGTAGAACAACAGACTGTGAAGATCGCCGCCTAAGATTATTGGCCTTAAGGGACCGTTTCTCCACTACCAGGTCCATTGCAAATGAATGGTTTGCAGAACACGGAAGACCTATTGGCATGCGAAGTGTTTACCGACGAATGAGAAGTTTTGGCTTGTTTTCATACCGGCCACACTGAGTCCTCCCTTTAACTTGAGAACACCGACGTAATCGCCTTGAGTGGTGCAGACAACGGTCACCCTGGGATCAGGAATGGAGCAGTATTGTCTTTAGTGACGAGTCTCGATTTTGTTTAGGCATGCACGATGGTCGTGCCAGGGTTAGAAGGCGACGTGGTGATAGGAGGAATCCACAGTTTTTTGTTGAAAGACATGTTCATCACACTGTTGGAGTTATGGTTTGGGGTGTTATAGCTTATGGTTCCAGGTCACCTTTAATCTTCATCAGAGGTAACATGAACGCGCAGCGTTATATCCACGAAGTTCTAGAACCCCATCTTTTACCCTATCTTGACACCCTGGAAGATCCAACTTTCCAACAAAATAATGCCCGACCACATGTTGCAAGAGTCACAATAGACTTCTTTCAACATAATGATGTCACATTGTTACCATGGCCACCAAGATATCCCGACTTATCCCCAATTGAGCACGTGTGGGAGGACATTGACCACCTGATCAGAAGCATGCCTAGGCGCGTTGGAGAATGCGTAGCACATCAGGGTGCATCCACACATTATTAAAGGTGAATGGGCTTTAAAGCAGTGCAATCATTTTGAAATTTTTATCATTTACTTATTATGCTTCATTAAGTACTTATACAAAATTTTATTAAAATAAAACCATTTAAACTGTGTGTTCGGATTTATATGTCACTTAGTATATAAATTTAGCTTTTTAGAGATTCAACATACTAAGAGATATCAATCCCCAGGGCATTTGATTATAGTGATGTAAATATTGTTTGTAAATCTTAAAAATCGATCGGTTTGAAATTAAATCTATTATGAGTATAATAATTTGTCTCGTAAAAATGAATTTGTATTACTACTAAAATAATTATTTATTTTTACTGGGTCTCTCGAATGGTTAGGAATTTGCATGCTGCTTTTTCTGATCCTTAGCGTATTTTTTTCACGAACTACTCTCTTGCAGAACTTGAATCAGTGTGATTCAAGTGTCGATTGATCCTTCTGTAAAATTTGGAACACATGTGCCTTGATTGACGTCCTAATAATAAACTAATATTTTTTGATAAGCAGATGAGTAAAAAATTAAGTAATCATATTATTACTTAAAACTAGTTAGTAGTTAAAACATTGTAACACCATTTTAACATAAACTTTTTTTAGAGTATTTGCTTCTGAAGATGAAATGAGCTGCCCCGAATGTTTCAAAGTCTTCAAAACTAGACGCCATCTGTACTGTCACACGAGACAGGTACACCTTCGTCACAACCCGCTGCCCGTACTGTGCAAAGTATGCCAAATGTCTTTCCAAACCAAGCATTTGATGAAAGAGCACATGCGGCTCACTCATATGGACGAACAGGGGTTCTACAAATGTGACCTTTGCGGCAAATCGTATTCGGTACTATTGAAGTTGTGCAATCACATTGAGAGGTTAGTATTTTGTATGCTTAGGGCCGTATCGTCAGTCGTTCCAACAATTGTAGGACGCCTTCATGGCCACCTTGATTTTTACAGTTTTCTACTGTTCCGTGTCAGTGCTCTATTTTGAGGTTATGTTACAAATATCTGTTTGCATCATATTGTTCATGGTTTTAAGCTGCATTCCTAACCTACACCGTGCTGGAATGGAACACAGGCAAGAAATATGTTAGTGGAGTGCGGTTAGGTGTAAAAGCGGGATCATCTAGGAAAAGGTCCATAGATCAAACTCGGGCAAAAACGTATACGAGCCCCTTCCCACTTCAGTTGGCCCACTTCAAGATTTGTACCAAAATATACTTGACGAAACTATTCACTACTAAATCAATTAATTTTCTCAAAAACATTTTAGATACACTCTAGTCGTAAAAAATACATATTTGAAATCACTTAGACCTATAGCTAATAGAACATCTGAACAAATAAACAATGTGCGAATAAATGCGCGAAGTTAACAAAGCAACAACTGAAAGATTGTCATTGAATAACATCGCCTTTATTTTTTATTACGGCTGAAATTCTTTGGGGCATAGTGTTAACCAAGTTTTGGCAAAAATTTGTTGTAAAACAATCCCATATTTCTTGAAGCTTTTGTCTCAGTTCGGTGATTGTACGAGCAGGATGTTGTCGTAGAACCTTTTTCATCTCGTGCCACAAAGTTTCAATAGGTGACAGATCTGGACTGCTAGAAATCCATTTAAAAAGTGGTACATTATTTTCTTCCATCCATTTTATAGCCTTTTTTGAGGTATGGCACGCTGTACCATCTTGCTGAAACACAAAATCTTGGATGTCAAACATTCTTCCATCACTGGTAAAAGCGATTCTTCTAAAATTGCCAAATATTTGTCTGTATCCACATTTTCATCAATAAAATGAAGTTTTCCTACTCCTTTTGATGACATACTGCCCCAGACCATAATGGATGCTGGAAATTTCACTTTTCTCTTCAGATAGTCAACATGGAATGCTTCATTTTTTTGCGAATAACTCTACTGCGACTGTCACCAACACAAACTTCGAATCGGGCCTCATCACTCCATTGTATTGCACACCATTCTTGAGGTGTCCATTGTCTATGTTCTTTAGCCCATCTAAGCCGATTTTTATTTTGAAGTGGAGTTAATAGTGGCTTTTCTTTGAGCTATAAACAAGTTGTGCAACTTTAGGGTTTTTACTTCACCTTTTTTTATAAGAAAACTTACCTTGCAAGTGCTAAATCCCAGTTTGTGGGCCTCTGTATGAGTTGTGGACCTCGAAATTCTCCTTCCAACAGCGTCACTCCACAGAGCACTTAATTGTAAATAATTGGTACCTTTTTTCCATTGTTGAAATATCCTGATGAAAACGTTCGCCGTGCTCATCACTTACGGCTCCGCAATTGTCCGGAAAAAAGTCCAGGTGTGAGTGTAGGAAATGTATCTTAAGAGACATATTACAGCCCATCTTTTGATACGATGACAGCATATTTTTGACAAGGGTTTTATAGTTGTCAGCTTTTCTATTTCCCAAGAAATTAGTGACCACCAGACGGAAATCATTCCAAGCAGTTTTTTCAATACCTGTTAAAGTGTTTTCAAACTGTGTATCTTTCAAAATATTTCGAATCTGTGGCCCAACAAAAATACCTTCTTTAAACTTCGCCTCACTTAGTGTTGGACATTTCTGACGCAGGTATTGAAAAGCTGACCCATCTCTATCTAATGTCTTGACAAAGTTTTTCATTAGGCCCAACTTGATATGCAGTGGTGGTAATAAATTTTTTTTCGAATCTACCTATGGTATATGCTGTACATTTTTTTGACCTGGCTCTAGGAATTGACGAACAGGCCAGTTTTGTCTGGTGTAATGAAGTGCCTTTGCCCGACTGTCCCATTCACACAAAAAACAGCAAAACTTTGTGTAGCCTAGCTGCAGCCCAAGTAAAAGTGCAACAACTTTCAAATCGCCACAAATATGCCATTGGTGCTCATCGTGCGGTTGGTGGCATGACATGCTCGGTATAAAATCAGGATCTCTTGCCGTTGATGGCATATCTTCTTCCTGACGAATCACTCGATCGCCATGATCTGATTCGTTTTCTGATTCGCAAGTGTACGATTCTGGGGGTTTTGGAATAGGATTTTCGTCACTGTGAGGCACAGGTCTCATCGCAGCTGGTATGTTTGGGTAGTTAATAACCGATTTTTTTTTCTTGGACATACCTGTGGCTTGTCCAACACAAGGTACCATGCAAAAGTAACAATCATTAATATGATTTGTAGGCTCTCTCCAAACCATTGGGACAGCAAAGCGCATAGACCGTTTTTTGCCATTTAACCAGCTCCTCAGACTTGAAGCACATGTATTACAGCAGATGTGGGGTGCCCACTGTTTGTCTTGATCACCTAGTTTACAACCGAAATAAAGCTGATATGCCTTTGTTATTAGTGGAGTAATAGACCGTCTCTGAGACGCAAAAGTCACATCACCACACACGTAACAAAACTGATCTGGATTGTTTACACACTTTCGAGACATCTTGCATGAACGCTGTCAGCCAACTGAGGAAAAAATGGCTAATATATAACAATATAATGTACACGTATGTATAAGGTAACACAATCATGCCGATTACATCATCTTTCCTTGCCGAATATAAAAATGTAGCACGTGCATTCTTGTGAATTACAGTATATTAACACTGTCACAGTAGGAACACATATAATTACCGTATCTCTAAAACTTGAACTAATATTGAAAAAATAAGTTTCATTCCGGTTTTAGCACATTAAAAATAGTAATATTTTGTTGATTTTATTTAGGATATTTTTTGGCTGTTGATCAGTGTTATCAGTAACCGAATTTTCTCACTAATAACCTTTCCTCTACTCATTTTGAAAACCTTAACTACCCAAAACTATTTTAAACGTATTGTGACATCTGTGATTAATAAAAACAATTGTCATGGCTTTTATTTTTCACAGCCACCTATGCATTATAGACTTATTTTGCATTGAAATGAAAATAGGTTGATATGCTGTAATTGCAACATGTGTTATTTTTATGCTGCAAATTTGATTAGGAAGTGATAAAGTTGGTGTTTTCTACTATATATTATCAAAATATTCATTGTTAATATTTTAAACCCATAACACCCTGCTACATTTTTATTATTTGTGTTTTATAAGAAAAAAACTAAGATTTCAATAGTTGGGCCAACTGAAGTGGGAAGGGGCTCCTTTCAATAAGCAGTATTATTTTTTCACTCATTTTCGCTGGTCTGCCTTTCTGTCCACTACAGTCTTACCACTATGCCAAGGACGCAAAAGTTGTTGGAATCTGGTCCAGTGGTGGGCAAAAACACGAAGAATATAAAAACCGCACAAATTTCTTTTGTTGATGTTTCAGAGGTTCCTGATCATTTTCAGAGTTTTCGTTGCTTATAGCTACCAAGGTTATAAAATGATCTTTAATATTGACCAAGTTTGACTTCTGCGAAACCTGTCACTGTCACAGTACGTTAAAGTTTATAGCCTAGGAAAATTAGTCTTTGAGCTGCATTTGAGCATATCTGATCCTGTGCTGCTCCAGCACGGTGCACGTAAGGCTGCATTTCCAACTCAGAAGCTTATGCAACAAGAAAATGTGTACGTCCTTTCAATCAACATGCGAAATATAAATGATAGAAATCCTCAGGATCCATCAGAAGATCAGGAAATACATCTGCGACGAATGCGACAAGGGCTTCAACGGAAACAAAGACCTTGAGGAGCATTACAGGGTGGAACATGGCGGTTTCCGGTACACCTGCGAGCATTGCAAGAAAGAGTTCAAGAATAAGTATGCTCATCGGGATCACGTCCAGCAACATGAAGCTCCGAAGGAATTCAGATGCAACATATGCAATAAGTCGCTGTCAGCTCGCGCGGCGCTGCATACTCACAGATTAGTTCATAAAGATGAGCTTGACATTTGCAATGTTTGTGGAAAGGGCGTGAAGTGTATGAAGTCGCATATGCTGAGCCATGCTGGTAAGATTTTTTCGGGTGTATAGGAAAGAGAAGTTTTGTAGATTGAATCGTAAAACGTATTATCACGAGGGTCGCCTCATAAATAAGGTTCCCACATTTTTCAGACACAAGACATTTTTTAGTTGGAAAATGAATTTATCATTGGAAACGTTGTTTGTCTATGAAGTCGCCAAATTTCAAAACTATCTAAAAATAATTTAAAATGCCATTGGTTAATACAATTTGACGGTGAGGACGATCAAAATTTCTCGCCAACATCATATCGTAAGCAGAGTACAATTCGCCTACCTCCTCGCGGTTCTGTGATCCTTATAGTAACACGTCGTCTACCAATTTTTCGAGAAAAGTCAGGTAGACAGTGCGATTTTCAGAAACCCGTGGATCTATATCAGGATCGCAGCAACGGTTATAGGTATCGATGCCATGGATTTGAATTTCGTGCTTATCTCATAGCAGGAGCAGAGTAGCATTCGCATACCTCCTCGCTTTTCTGTAAACCTGGTAACAATTCTCCAATCTACCAATCTTACGAAGCTGTGGTCGACAAGTGCGATATTCAGAATCATATAGATCTGTATCAGGTTTGCGGAAACGATTAGGAACATAAATGCCAAAGAACAAGCTTTCGCGTCAACAACCTCCTCGGGTCTCTGTGAACCTGGCAACAATTCCTACAATCTACTAATTTTACGAAGGATCTGTGGTTGACAGTACGATATTCAGACACAAATAGATCTGTATCAGGATCGCAGAAACGGCAAGAGGTATCGATGCCATGGATTTGAATTTCGTGCTTATCTCATAGCAGGAGCAGAGTAGCATTCGCATACCTCGTCGCTTTTCTGTAAACCTGGTAAAAATTCTCCAGTATACCAATTTTACGAAGCTGTGGTCGACAAAGTGCGACATTCAGAATCATATAGATCTGTATCAGGTTTGCCGAAACGATTAGGAACATAAATGCCAAAGAACAAGCTTTTGCGTCAACAACCGCCTCGGGTCTCTGTGAACCTGGCAACAAGTCCTACAATCTACTAATTTTACGAAGGATCTGTGGTTGACAGTACGATATTCAGAAACAAAAAGATCTGTATCAGGATCGCAGAAACGGCAAGAGGTATCGATGCCATGGATTTGAATTTCGTGCTTATCTCATAGCAGGAGCAGAGTAGCATTCGCATACCTCCTCGCTTTTCTGTAAACCTGGTAACAATTCTCCAATCTACCAATTTTACGATTAGGAACATAAATGCCAAAGAACAAGCTTTCGCGTCAACAACCTCCTCGGGTCTCTGTGAACCTGGCAACAAGTGCTACAATCTACTAATTTTACGGAGGATCTGTGGTTGACAGTACGATATTCAGACACAAAAAGATCTGTATCAGGATCGCAGAAACGGCAAGAGGTATCGATGCCATAGATTTGAATTTGGTGCTTATTTCATAGCAGGAGCAGAGTAGCATTCGCATACCTCCTCGCTTTTCTGTAAACCTGGTAACAATTCTCCAATCTACCAATTTTACGAAGCTGTGGTCGACAAGTGCGATATTCAGAATCATATGTATCAGGTTTGCCGAAACGATTAGGAACATAAATGCCAAAGAACAAGCTTTCGCGTCAACAACCTCCTCGGGTCTCTGTGAACCTGGCAACAAGTCCTACAATCTACTAATTTTACGAAGGATCTGTGGTTGACAGTACGATATTCAGAAACAAATAGATCTGTATTAGGATCGCAGATACGGCAAGAGGTATCGATGCCATGGATTTGAATTTCGTGCTTATCTCGTAGCAGGAGCAGAGTAGCATTCGCATACCTCCTCGCTTTTCTGTAAACCTGGTAACAATTCTCCAATCTACCAATTTTACGAAGCTGTGGTCGATAAGTGCGATATTGAGAATCATATAGATCTGTATCAGGTTTGCCGAAACGATTAGGAACATAAATGCCAAAGAACAAGCTTTCGCGTCAACAACCTCCTCGGGTCTCTGTGAATCTGGCAACAAGTCCTACAATCTACTAATTTTACGAAGGATCTGTGGTTGACAGTACGATATTCAGAAACAAATAGATCTGTATCAGGATCGCAGAAACGGCAATAGGTATCGATGCCATGGATATGAATTTCGTGCTTATCTCATAACAGGAGCAGAGTAGTATTCGCATACCTCCTCGCTTTTCTGTAAACCTGGTAACAATTCTCCAATCTACCAATTTTACGAAGCTGTGGTCGACAAGTGCGATATTCAGAATCATATAGATCTGTATCAGGTTTGCCGAAACGATTAGGAACATAAATGCCAAAGAACAAGCTTTCGCGTCAACAACCTCCTCGGGCCTCTGTGAACCTGGCAACAAGTCCTACAATCTACTAATTTTACGAAGGATCTGTGGTTGACAGTACGATATTCAGGCACAAATAGATCTGTATCAGGATCGCAGAAACGGCAAGAGGTATCGATGCCATGGATTTGAATTTCGTGCTTATCTCATAGCAGGAGCAGAGTAGCATTCGCATACCTCCTCGCTTTTCTGTAAACCTTGTAACAATTCTCCAGTCTACCAATTTTATGAAGCTGTGGTCGACAAGTGCGATATTCAGAATCATATAGATCTGTATCAGGTTTGCCGAATCGATTAGGAACATAAATGCCAAGGAACAAGCTTTCGCGTCCACAACCTCCTCGGGTCTCTGTGAACCTGGCAACAAGTCCTACAATCTACTAATTTTACGAAGGATCTGTGGTTGACAGAACGATATTCAGAAACAAATAGATCTGTATCAGGATCGCAGAAACGGCAAGAGGTGTCGATGCCATGGATTTGAATTTCGTGCTTATCTCATAGCAGGAGCAGAGTAGCATTCGCATACCTCCTCGCTTTTCTTTAAACCTGGTAACAATTCTCCAATCTACCAATTTTACGAAGCTGTGGTCGACAAGTGCGATATTCAGAATCATATAGATCTGTATCAGGTTTGCCGAAACGATTAGGAACATAAATGCCAAAGAACAAGCTTTCGCGTCAACAACCTCCTCGGGTCTCTGTGAACCTGGCAACAAGTCCTACAATCTACTAATTTTACGAAGGATCTGTGGTTGACAGTACGATATTCAGAAACAAATAGATCTGTATCAGGATCGCAGAAACTGCAAGAGGTATCGATGCCATGGATTTGGATTTCGTGCTTATCTCATAGCAGGAGCAGAGTAGTATTCGCATACCTCCTCGCTTTTCTGTAAACCTGGTAACAATTCTCCAATCTACCAATTTTACGAAGCTGTGGTCGACAAGTGCGATATTCAGAATCATATAGATCTGTATCAGGTTTGCCGAAACGATTAGGAACATAAATGCCAAAGAATACGCTTTCGCGTCAACAACCTCCTCGGGTCTCTGTGAACCTGGCAACAAGTCCTACAATCTACTAATTTTACGAAGGATCTGTGGTTGACAGTACGATATTCAGAAACAAAAAGATCTGTATCAGGATCGCAGAAACGGCAAGAGGTATCGATGCCATGGATTTGAATTTCGTGCTTATCTCATAGCAGGAGCAGAGTAGCATTCGCATACCTCCTCGCTTTTCTGTAAACCTTGTAACAATTCTCCAGTCTACCAATTTTATGAAGCTGTGGTCGACAAGTGCGATATTCAGAATCACATAGATCTGTATCAGGTTTGCCGAACCGATTAGGAACATAAATGCCAAAGAACAAGCTTTCGCGTCAACAACCTCCTCGGGTCTCTGTGAACCTGGCAACAAGTCCTACAATCTACTAATTTTACGAAAGATCTGTGGTTGACAGTACGATATTCAGACATAAAAAGATCTGTATCAGGATCGCAGAAACGGCAAGAGGTATCGATGCCATAGATTTGAATTTGGTGCTTATTTCATAGCAGGAGCAGAGTAGCATTCGCATACCTCCTCGCTTTTCTGTAAACCTGGTAACAATTCTCCAATCTACCAATTTTACGAAGCTGTGGTCGACAAGTGCGATATTCAGAATCATATGTATCAGGTTTGCCGAAACGATTAGGAACATAAATGCCAAGGAACAAGCTTTCGCGTCCACAACCTCCTCGGGTCTCTGTGAACCTGGCAACAAGTCCTACAATCTACTAATTTTACGAAGGATCTGTGGTTGACAGTACGATATTCAGAAAGAAACAGATCTGTATCAGGATCGCAGAAACGGCAAGAGGTATCGATGCCATGGATTTGAATTTCGTGCTTATCTCATAGCAGGAGCAGAGTAGCATTCGCATACCTCCTCGCTTTTCTGTAAACCTGGTAACAATTCTCCAGTCTACCAATTTTACGAAGCTGTGGTCGACAAGTGCGATATTCAGAATCATATAGATCTGTATCAGGTTTGCCGAAACGATTAGGAACATAAATGCCAAAGAACAAGCTTTCGCGACAACAACCTCCTCGGGTCTCTGTGAACCTGGCAACAATTCCTACAATCTACTAATTTTACGGAGGATCTGTGGTTGACAGTACGATATTCAGACACAAAAAGATCTGTATCAGGATCGCAGAAACGGCAAGAGGTATCGATGCCATAGATTTGAATTTGGTGCTTATTTCATAGCAGGAGCAGAGTAGCATTCGCATACCTCCTCGCTTTTCTGTAAACCTGGTAACAATTCTCCAATCTACCAATTTTACGAAGCTGTGGTCGACAAGTGCGATATTCAGAATCATATAGATCTGTATCAGGTTTGCCGAAACGATTAGGAACATAAATGCCAAAGAACAAGCTTTCGCGACAACAACCTTCTCGGGTCTCTGTGAACCTGGCAACAAGTCCTACAATCTACTAATTTTACGAAGGATCTGTGGTTGACAGTACGATATTCAGAAACAAATAGATCTGTATTAGGATCGCAGATACGGCAAGAGGTATCGATGCCATGGATTTGAATTTCGTGCTTATCTCATAGCAGGAGCAGAGTAGCATTCGCATACCTCCTCGCTTTTCTGTAAACCTTGTAACAATTCTCCAGTCTACCAATTTTACGAAGCTGTGGTCGACAAGTGCGATATTCAGAATCATATAGATCTGTATCAGGTTTGCCGAAACGATTAGGAACATAAATGCCAAAGAACAAGCTTTCGCGACAACAACCTTCTCGGGTCTCTGTGAACATGGTAACAATTCCTACAATCTACTAATTTTACGAAGGATCTGTGGTTGACAGTACGATATTCGGAAACAAATAGATCTGTATAAGGATCGCAGAAACGGCAAGAGGTATCGATGCCATGGGTTTGAATTTCGTGCTTATCTCATAGCAGGAGCAGAGTAGCATTCGCATACCTCCTCGCTTTTCTGTAAACCTGGTAACAATTCTCCAATCTACCAATTTTACGAAGCTGTGGTCGACAAGTGCGATATTCAGAATCATATAGATCTGTATCAGGTTTGCCGAAATGATTAGGAACATAAATTCCAAAGAATAAGCTTTCGCGTCCACAACCTCCTCGGGTATCTGTGAACCTGGAACAAGTCCTACAATCTACTAATTTTACGAAGGATCTGTGGTTGACAGTACGATATTCAGAAACAAATAGATCTGTATCAGGATCGCAGAAACGGCAAGAGGTATCGAGCAGAGTGGCATTTGCAAACCTCCTCGCGCTTGTGTGATCCTGATAGCAGCTCGTCGTCCACAAATTTTACGAGAAAAGTCAGGTGAGCAGTGCGATTTTCAGAAACCTATAGATCTATATCAGGATCGCAGCAACGGTGATAGGTATCGATGTCATGGAATTGAATTTCGTGTTTATCTCATAGCAGGAGCAGAGTGGCACTTGCATACCTCCTCGCCTTTCTGTAAACCTGATAACAATTCTCCAATGAATCATATAAATTTGTATTAGGATTGCAGAAACGACTAGGAGTATAGATTCCAAAGATCAAAATTTCGCGCCAACATCATAGCATTGGTAGAGTACCATTCTCACACCTCCTCGCGTTTCTGTGATCCTGATAACAACTCGTCGTCTACCAACTTTACGACAAAAGTCTGGTCGGCCGTGCGATTTTCGGAAGCCTATAGATCTGTATCAGGATCGCAGAAACGGCAAGCTCTATCGATGCCATGGATTTGAATTTCGTGCTTATCTCATAGCAAGAGCAGAGTGGCATTTGCAAACCTCCTCGCGCTTCTGTGATCCTGATAGCAGCTCGTCGTCCACCAATTTTACGGGAAAAGTCTGGTAGACAGTGCGATTTTCGGATGCCTATAGATCTGTATCAGGATCGCAGGAACGGCAAGAGGTATCGATGCCATGGATTTGAGTTGTTTAATGTGATTGGTTCTCCCTGATGACATTCGTCGGAAAATTTCTGAAGAGATTAAGCAAGTAAAAAGGTCGTGTCATCCTGATAACATTCGTAGAGCGACGAATCTCGTCCATGAAGTGAGAAATGAATTCCGCAATGAGCAGTGGAGCGACTTTCTGGCGGGGATGCTTGAATCAAGTATTCCTCTCTGGAAAGTCGCAAAATCGCTCAGAAACAGAAGGCAAGAACAACTACCACATATTCATGGTCCTGGAGGCATAGTTTTCAGGACTGAGGATAAAGTGGAGGTTTTTGCTGACGTCATGGAAAGGCAGTTCTCTCTCAATTATGATCTGGACAATGACCTTGACGAGGAACGACAAATTGTAGGAATTGTCAGAAGATACTTCAGAGCAAATGGCGACACCAAAATCGGTACTAGCATCGGTGACTCCTTTTCAGGAGATTCTTCTACGGAATACTCTTCAGATGAATCTCAGCATAGCACACCAACGGAGTCCTCTGAGATTCTGTTTTGCTCACCAGCAGAGCTCCAAGGCCACATTAAGGACCTAATGGTGCTTAAAGCACCTGGAGAGGATCAAATCACCAACAAAGCACTGAAGTTGCTTTGACTCAAGGCTTTGACTTATCTGGTAGCAATAATCAATGCAATACTCAGAACTCATTACTTTCCTAAGGCGTGGCTTAAGCTATTTCAAATGATTTACTTCTTTTCTTTGCTCTATTTCTTCCTTCCTTTCTTTCCTTCTTTCCCTTTTATCCTTAAACATGTTTGGTATCTGGGCAGCCAGGCTTGACAGACTAACACACCGACGGGACTTTTAACTAAGAGCAAAGGTCCACCGGATCGCTCTGACGAATAATGACGAATAGTATGTGATTGGTTGAACATAACGACCAGTTTTTTGGTGAAATCCACCCTTAATCGTTAATGGACTTAGCCACGCCAGTAGGTGTAACGTCTGAAGCCCGGCATCATTTTTTTAAATGTAAAATGTATTTTAAAATCCGAAAGTTGAAAAGTGATATCAAAATTAAAATCCAGAATTGGGAAGAGAAAAACGATGAAAATTGCAAAATATTTTTATTAAGACCTATCCCTAAAAAGAAAAACAATATAACGTTGTCATATAATTATACCGTATATTGTTCTCCAATATTTTTCTGTACAAATTAATATCTGTATAGGTATATTTGGAGCTCTAAAGAAATTTCAGGTAGAAAAGTTAGAGGCGCGTCTTCAATGATTAAGTCTTATTTAGAACCCGTCAACTTATCTATTGTTAATGATTCAAATGTTAAAAAATTTATTAATAAAATGGTGGAATTGTGCCTCTTATAAATTTTAATTCAATCAAATATGCAATTTTTAGCAGTTTATGTGACACAAAACTAAAAATTTCAACTCAAATTGTAACTGTGCTCAGTTAAGGTTGATTATAAGGAATTGAAAGAAGACCTATTATATAGGAAACTTATTTAGAAATATGCGCCCATGTTTGGCCCCTTTTTTTCATCTACACCCAAAAACTAGGATCGAAAACCGTTTTTTATCAAAATTTTATTCTCTCCACCACCCATACGTAATTAAGAATTGGGTGAGATCTATCTAGTCAATCTAATCAACTCATCCACCGTACGTACTCCTATCCCGTAGAAAAGAAACAGCACGAGTGCGAGTTCTGCCAGAAGAAATTCGCGTGGCGCACGAGCCTTGTCGTGCACATGCGCACTCACACCGGCGAAAAACCGTACGCGTGCGAATTCTGCGACAAGACGTTCGCACAGAGGCCGGCGATCATCGCGCATAGGAGGCACCACACCGGGGAAAGGCCGTACCAGTGCCAGGTGTGCCAGAAGCACTTCGTTACTAGTACTGTTAGGAAAGGGCACAAATGCAAGGGGCCTAGCGATTAGGCGCGCGAGATGGCAACAGAGGAAGATGCCCAAAACCGGCACCCGTTAAGTTATCGATACAGTATACGTGAAAAGTTCCTCAAGATAATTTGTGAATTAATAATGGTATAAAAAAACTCCTGAGATTGTTAGAGTGGTGACCTAGGTCATGACCTTTAAGGTCATTTGAAGGTGAAATCGTTTTTTTGAAGGAAGCTAATAAATAATGAAAAAAATCTTACGTCCAAATATGGTCTGGACCATATTTAAAATTTTGACCTTAGGAGGTCATAGTCAAGGTCAAACCCAGGTACTGTGTCTTGAAAACTAGTAGTCGTATAATAATAATTGATGAATATATAATTATGACCTTGGATGTGACCTTAACCTGACCTTGACCTACAAGGTCATGTGAAGGTCAAGTAGATTTTTGTAGCCAGGAAACAATCCTGAAAGAACAGTGTAGTCGGTCGATCAGAGTATTACACAGTTTTCTGAATTGTCAGGAAGGTAAGCTTGTGTTTGACCTTCATGGTCAAGTCCAAGGTCAAGTTCTAAAAATCGTCATATATTGGAACAAAAATTTTCTTTTTTATCCATTTTTGACCCGATTTTGGCGGTCAAAAGTTTAGGGTCACATTAAAAAAGTTGACCGAAGAATCTTGAAGGTCATGGTCAAGGTCAGATCCAAAATCGGGGCGAAAATCGAGAAAAGGTGGAATTTTATGTTCGAATATACCCTAGATCACTTTTAGAAATCGACCTTGGACTTGACCATCAAGGTCAAACACAAGCTCACCTTGAAAATTCTTAACTGTGATAGATTGACTAGACTGTTATATCAGGATTGTGCCCTGGCTACAAAAACCTACTTGACCTTTACAAGACCTTGAAGGTCATTGATAGTTAAGGTCATATCCAAGGTCATTATTGGATATCTGGGGAAAATCATGAAAATAATGTCTGTGTAGTTGCCGTATACGACTCTACTGACTTTGAAGTTATATCACCGTACCTGGGTTTGACCTTGACCATGACCTTCTAAAGTCAAAATTTAAGAGTGATCAAGACACACGTAATATTTTCCGCTCTTTTCATTTACGGGTAAAAGATTTAACAAAATTGACTTGACCTTCAAATGACCGCAGGGGGCCGCCTTATGGGAGCGGTGCTCATTCAGGGCATTTTCCTCTACTATTTACCAGGGTTGTCTAAAAACAATTTTTCAAACCCTAAATGCAATATGCTTTGACATCTCAACACCAGTTATTTATTCTAAGAGTATTATAATAGTTAATAAAAAGGTAATTATAGGATTTAATGTGTAATTCCGTAGTATTTTGATTTGACTTTTTGTGGATTACTTCAAGCGTTTGTTGTTTTCCGGAAACGTTCTGAATTGTGGATCTATAAGCAAATCTCGATTTTTGACAGGAAGTATCTCACTTGTTATATACGTTTTGTCTAGCCCAATAAGTTTGCTATTTCAGCAGAACCTAACTCGCTTGTGCACCAGTATTTATTCCTAGTATTTATTCATAAATTATTTCTAAGCGTCTTATTTATGTTTGATTCAATACGTATGAAAACCATTAGGTCATCCAGTGGAACTACATATGAATTTGAGGCAAGATCAACTTTGTAATTCTCTTGCTTAGTGTCGCTTCTAATCAATAAAGTATTTTATACCAGAATATGTGTCATATTCAATCTGAAATAAACCTGTGAGTATTAAGTAAGCGCTATTCATCGAGCGTATAAATATTGCTGGCCCAGGCATCGATCCTTGGGGTACCCCAAATTTTGTTAACCTATGATATGACTGATGCAGAGATTCAAAGGCAAATAGAAAACAAAATAAACTATAGACGTCATAAATAGATGTCAATAATGTATAATATAATGTATTTGACTATTTTTATTTTCGTATTCATAAACATTTGTTTTTAGGGTGAGCAAACCAAAGGAGTCAGCGGTTTGTCCAATGTGTTCAAAATCCTACAAGAGCATAGACAAAATGCGACGACACAAACGAAGAATCCACGATGCAACCACAGACGAATATCGTTGTGATCTGTGTCCTAAAACGTTCAGTCACAAACATAGGCTGTCATCGCATAAGTATATCGTACACAGAAACAAAAATCGATACAAATGTGACATGTGTAGCAGCTCTTTTTCTCTAGCGTTTCATCTGAAAACACATAAAGAACGCTTCCACGAGAACAGTCACAGATTCTATTGTGAACAGTGTAAAAAGGGCTTTCAAAATCAGAAAATCCTTGACGATCATCTAAGGATCGAGCACGGTGGATTTAGGCATAAGTGTGAACATTGTAGAAAAACGTTCAAAAACCTAGCTTACTTCAAATTGCATATCACAACTCATTCGGAAGATTATGTACCAATCAAGTTTCCGTGTCCTTCGTGTGACAAGATATTCTCAACAAGGCAAGCACTAACAGTTCACAAAAGATCACATAAAGGCAATCACAAGACAGTCTGTGATATTTGTGGTAAAGCAGTGGCAAGTTTGAAACGCCATCTTCAGGTACACAACGGCGAAAAGCCACATCAATGCGAATTTTGTGAGAAAGCCTTCGCGAATGTCAGCAATTTGAGCGTGCATAGAAGAACACATACCAAAGAAAAACCTTACGTTTGTGATACGTGTAACAGGAGGTTTGGTCAACGTTCCACGTTGATAGTGCATATGAGGTACCATACGGGAGAGAAACCTTTCAAATGTGACATTTGTTGCAAGAAGTTTGTTACGAAGACTTTGCTGAAGGATCATAGGTGCAGGGGACCGGATGGGCAGATCTGAAATACGCTGTAATAATAAATTATTTTCCTTTGACCAAATTTGTATAAGAATCGTCATTATGGCAGATATATACAGAGATATAATGAAACGATAAATAAAACAAGATAATAAACAACATTTATATAGTGACACCACATTTATGTTTTAAAGAATATTTCAAACTATACTTAAAGTGATTTTGATTTTCTATTCCTTGTATATCTTGTTGAGGATAGGTAAGCAAAGCAATTCAACTCGCACTGGGCTTCGGTTCAGAACAGTTTATTGAGTACTTGTACATGAATGTGTAGATACGCGACAGGTGTATACCGGGCTTCCGTGATCCGCGCGCGTGCGTTGGCTGCTGTTGTTCGACTGCTTTCCTACGACTGACTCTTTACGACTAACTGCATTCCTAGTGCGGCGCGCGTGGACCGACGGCTGTTACTTCAAGGTTAGGCGAGGTGCCTGGTCGTCTCGCCAGCAGCGGCGTGGCAGGGTGACGCTAGTATGGTTTATCTGAAGTCACTTGAAATAACATAAAAACCTTTGGTCGGCGCGTCCTTTGTAATTTCATGACGTATCATAGGCGTGCGGTTATTTATTTAGAACGATAATAATAATGTTTTTATATCACAATAAATGGATTTTACTATCTTCTTATTTTTTTGATTCGGGATAAAAATTATATTGGGAGTTTAATTTATGTTGACTGAAAGTTAAGAAATGGAAAAATTACAGAATTCCAACGTTTGACATAGGCAAATATTTACATAGCAGGTAGGTATATAAAAAGGTATATAAAGACTTACAATATAGGTATTTATATATCATCCTCGCCTTCGGAGCTGTCGCTAGAGTCATCTTGTAGAGGAATTACAACGGGATTTACAGGAGGCAAAACACAATATTCATTTTCTTTTTCAATAATATGCCTAGAACACTGCTTCCATAGGTCTGTGGCAGCAATATCAGATACTGCATCTCTTATTGTGGCCAATAGCGATTCACTTAATTGAGGGGTCTGATTATGTTTTCTTACTTTTTTTTTTAAAGCAGCCCAGACCAACTCAATCGGGTTAAAAATGCAGTAATAGGGAGGTAGACGTATGGCCATTTTGCTGAAGCAGATTGTCAACAACATACTCTTTTTCAAATTTTTGTCTTTTAATAAGATCCAATAAAATGGCTTTGGTTGATTTTTGTGGTATTTCCATTCACTTATCCTTCATAAAATCAATAATGTCTTGTTTTTTTTGTGCCTGTATTCGGAATTTTGTTTTTCTGTCGGGAATGGTATGGCGCATTGTCCATAATAATCACTGAATTTGGGGAAATTTTTGGTATTAGCTGCTGCTCTATCCACTTTTCAAATAAGTCGGAGGTCATGTCCTCATGATAGTCGGCACATGATTCTTTGATATTTTTGGCAGATAACAGCAAGGCATTAGGTATAAATCCATTTTCACTGCCAGCATGGAGAATAATGATTCGTTTTCCACGGTTGCATGGTGCATTTAAAATGCACTTGTTGCTGTCGTCAACCCAGCCGTACTGCACAACATCATGGGTATCATACCACGTTTCATCCAGGTAAATCAGATTTCTTTTCTGCACTCTATATATTTTAACTCTGTGCAAAAATTCTTGGCGCAATTCAACGATTCGAGACGACTCCATAATCACCATTCTTTTATCTAATTTTTTGTATTGAAAACCACACAGTTTTACAATACAGTGCAGTGAGTCTAAGCATTTGTAATTATAAAAATCTTCAGGATAATCTTTTAATTTATCCCGTATCATTTCCAACGTGGGCACCAAATTTTCTTTATAAAATCCGTATATTATACGACGAATATCTTCCTGAAAACCCACGTCTATTCTTTTTAATTTTTGCCCTATGCGCTTTCTGTGGAAGGAATGGTTGACTACATCTCCCCTTTTTATAACCCGATAAATGGTGTCAGGATACAAATTCTGTTTAAAATTTGATTTTGCGAGGAATCTGGATTTTCGTTTTTCAGACAATCATACATATTTAGGACTACATGTACTCTTTGGGTCTGTTCCTCTAAATCTTTATGAAAGAATTCTGCGTGCACAGGTTCATCAACCATCTCCTCGTGGCTTGGAGCATTTTCCCAAGGTCTCCAAAGAGCCATATTTAGGACACACAAGAACAATCAACACAACAATTAAATCAACAAGTAAACTGAGTATTCAAAAGTCAAAAACGCACAAACTAATAAAATCTATGAAAAAACACGGACAGACTAAAGAAAACACGTTTATTCACCGCTACACGGCACTGGCTAAACTGTTTCAATTTTCAGTAGCCACCTGCACTTGTTCGGAGCTCTGAAATACACGCTTTCTCATTGGCTATGTCCACGCATAGGCGTGCTTTACTCCACGTGGACCGGTGAAACTGCCTTTGATCTTATACGGGGGATATTTGCTGCGAAATTTGGCGATTTTTGCAGCAACAGAGCGTGTTAAATATAGATATATAAAACGCACCCGGTATTTCACAGTGTTTCAAGTGACTTCAGATAAAGTATACGCGTTCCAACATATCTTTTTCAAGGACGTTGAAAGATTTTGGGACCAAGTATATTTGTCGATTTCCTACGGTGAATTTATAAAAGTTGGCGTATACCTCTCTTTATTGAGAGCAAATTTGGTCTTGTTACGAAATACGTATAACGCTATCTTGTGAATCGCCTAAGTAGGTACCGTTAGGATTTTGGGTGGTGGGTTGAAATTTTTTCTATTTTTGCTCAACTTCTTGATATTTTAAAAAGCTCCTAGTGCATAAAATCGAAAAAGTGGATCGTTAGCACCCTGTGAACTGTTTTTAGCACGCTGCAAGAGTTTCATTTGGAAATAATAAAAAATGAAACGTAAGCTGTGAAATACAAACCGGTTTTTGGGCGAAATTCGTCTACTGTTTCGTCCTGCCAGTCCAAGCGAGGCGACGGTGCGTTCCGACTAAGAAAAAATGTATTCAAATAATTTGATCTTTCCTAAAATAAATTCAAGAACCCAAATTCAAATTCGTTTATTCATGTCAATAAACACAATTATGTTTACAAGGGTTATGTGGTACATGGTAACAATTGAACGAGGGTCATAAAAATATCTTATGCCGTCAAAATAAGAGGAAATAGTTAGGTAATTTTTGCAAAGCACCAAACAGGTAGGCTTATACCTGGATTAAGTACATTTCTTGTCTACTGTAATAGGTAGATGGAGGCGATGCTGCCAGAAATGGATGTTTGCGATCAATAAACAAACCACAAGATTGAACTGCGGTGTCCAATGATTTTTGTATTGCCTTACTAGAAAACCCTGTTGGGTATATGATGGAGTTTAATAGAACTTTACAGCTTGTTGTCTGCCTTCTATAAACTTCACCAATTCGAGACGCTGTCAACCTTATCCTCCGATGAAGGCGCGACAAAGTCCAGTCCTGACTTGTTCGATCTGCAAAATCTCGTCGGTACTTTTTTTAAGTTTAAGTTTAAGACTATTCATTTTCATTGGAATTGCTATCCGAATTGTTAGTTATTTTTGTATCAGTTTTTTTTTGGTCTTTGTTTCTTTTCAAGATTCTTACGTTACTAAGCTGAGGTTGGACTAAGCTTAGAACGCAAATGTATTTAGACCACATAGACAGGCCGCTGGGTATTGTGGCTCACTACAGCTGCAGTACATCTTCCATGGTATATGACCTATTCTTGCAATAATTTATTTTATGAATTAAACTCACTGCATTCGTAATTAAAATGGTCGCATATGACCCTTTATTGTCCATTATCAGCCTTGATAAAAAAAGGCACTCAAGAACAATCACACCAAAGAGAGTACGGCACAACAATTCAACAACACAATATCGACGAACAGTAACAAGGGGAGAAAAATCGTAAATGATCACTTGCTGAGTACCAAAATAAGAAACGATTTACTTCTAGATCGCTAATCGAAATCCGACTCTGTTATTATAAAATTTACCTTGATATGCACCCGCAGTCATCCTTTCCTCTTTTAAAGTAGCGCTTACGACCGTCTAGTGCCAGCCCACCCTCGTTTCCTTTTCACACATTGTAGGAGCCCCGTTAAGGTAAGATAAAGAGCGCCATTTACACCAGATGCAGTGAGCCTTTGCAACAGAATGCCGTGGTTTTTTTTTGCTGGAAAAGCATGCGAATGCTTGAAGTAGAGGATGACCTTCAAGTAGAGTTTGTAAATATCATACTTTAAATAAATATGCTGTAATATATTTATATATTACTTGTCCCTTGGATTGCCCCATATTTCAGACACATTAAGATGTATAGTTTTTCGTCGAAAACATCATTCCCGTTTATACGAAACCTATTTTTTAAGCAAGGATCCTTTTGTATTGGAGTAAGAGAAATTTTATGAACGTAAATTGTATCACAAAGTAAAATATGAACATTTCTTCATTTTTCAACATAGTCACATTTGAACTTTCCTCCATTTTCCTAGCACTTTCCACGAAGAAATTTCTTCAGTTTTGGAAGAAGATGAAAGTCTGATGGTACTAAGTCAGGGCTGTATGACGGACGATCCAGTAATATGCAACAAAGCTGCGTCTGTGTTCTTGCCTCAAATTTAATAATGTTCCACAGCACCTCTCTACATTTATAGTAGGAAGAACGGAAAACAAATTACTGAGCCCACTCCACAGTGAGTGAAATGGCAATAAACAAAGCAGTATAACCAAGCAACCAACCCCGACAGAGACGTGAAACGTAATGGCGGCATAGAGACAGGATGCGCGGATACGATGCGCACTAAGTTCTTACTTTAAAGATGGCTCTGATTTTTCTAATGCTCTTATTTTTCAGGCCGGTGAACTGCACAATATGTTCGAAACCGTTCCACAACAGAAGACAAATGCAAAAGCATCGATCTGCCAAACATAACGCAGTCAAAGGAGACTACGTCTGCGACATATGTGGAAAAATATATCATTACAAAGACATCTTGCGAGCGCACAAGAACAATCAGCACAAAAACAAGGACAAATACAAGTGTGATACTTGCGGCAAAGGTTTCCCGGCTCCCTGTTTGTTGTCTAATCACGTTAAGGCGTATCATGAGGGAATACGCGAAATGTTCGCCTGTAGCGTATGCAACAAGGTATTCACAAGCAATAGCTATCTGAAACTCCACGTGAAAGCCGATCACGAAGGAATGCGCTACGTTTGCGCTGAATGTGGCAAGGTTTACAAGCAAGAAGCTGTCTTTAAAAGACACATGGCTACTCATTCGAAAGATTTTGTACCTAAATTCCAATGCACACACTGCGAGATGAGCTTCAAAGAGAAAAGAACCCTCAAGTGCCACGTCATGCTAAAACATTCCGACTATAAGGGCATAGCTTGCGAATACTGCGGAAAACTCGTGAAAAGCCTTAAAAAACACATCAGGACGCATACCGGTGAAAAGCCGTACCAATGTGAATATTGCGAAAAATCCTTCGCCAATATTGGTAACCTGAAGGACCACGAGAAGATACACACCAATGAAATGCCGTTTGAATGTGGCATATGTCAGAAGAAATTCAATCAAAGAGTTCGTCTAACTGTGCATTTGAGGACTCATACTGGCGAAAAATCTCATCGATGTCAAATATGTTACAAGGGTTTCGCAACCGTCAACCTGTTGAAGAAACACAACTGTCAGGGACGACCGACGATTGATACGGCCAGCGAAAGAATGCAGGCAAGCTATGAGGAGGACAGGGCGTTATGGTCTGGACAACCGTTTGCGCCACAAATGGAATAACTTTATTCATATTTTTGTATTTTTATCGTATGTCTTGTCCTTGTGTTCCACGGCACATCGAACCCTGAACATCGATGCTTTGGCGAATTGGGGCTATATCTCAATCTAGATCGACCGTCTAGTGGACGGTTCGACAGCTATTCGGTCGACATTTGATGACGCACTGTTGCCAAGTTTAACATATGGCTTAAAGTTTAAGGAAAATACTTACGTTGCAGCTGATACTTTCGCTCTGTCTTCCCTCTTTTTACAGAAAGTCTTGTGACAAAAAATATACGTACCCGGTGACCCAATAATAAAAGACATCGGCTATATCCCAGCAACGGCCTAACCTAACCCATAAAAAATTTTAGGTCAAAAGCGGCTAAGGGAAATTGCTGGAAATCATGTTCAGTTGCCTAAAATGACCGCTAGGCGGCGTATATTCAATTTTAAACATTCAAACGGCATTATTTTGCGAAAATGCGTTATTAACGTACTGATTTAATAACTCTGTTATGTCGACTGATCGTGTTTTTTTGTTAAACTCATTTTTCTTCTTTTGATTCGTTCAGGGTGGGGAAGAGTTGGATGTCATTTCAGGAAAAGTAATACAACTTCTGCTACTCAACGCTCAATCTCGTCGAATTAGTTCACTTTATGGCCACTAGATAGCGCTCAATGGATGTGTCACTGTTTTTTTATTTTCGCGAAAATTTCGCATATATCTGTATATTTTTTAACCTTGTTCGAAAAGAGCATAAAAAGCCCTATAAAACTGCGAAAACCGCTGATCAATATCTTTATTCGTTATGGAGATATGATGTAAAAATATAGTTAAATTACAATTTTCAAGTATCACTGGATTAAGGCTATGAATAGTTAAGTGAAATGTATCAATATGTTACGGTTTCAAGATATTTTACTTGCAAATTTATTTTTTTGCTTTTTATAACCGATAGGTGTCGTAAATATCGCCTGATGTATGAAAAAGGACATAATTCAATAAATTATACCTCATATTTAAACTCAGGTGGCTTTGAAATACTAATAATTCAGGAAATATCGAAGTTTTTACCGCTTGTGGTAGTTATATGTAAGAGTGCAAATTATGAATTGATTTATATCCGTATTAATAAAATCTAGCGTGCCATGACTTCCGAGAACAGAAGCTAATCTAAAATAAATTAATGCAAACGTCAAAACCATTGAGGTCGCTTTTGAATATTTGAAATCGAAAATACCCTATCGGCCATTTTAGGAAGATTAAAATAATTTCCAGCCATTTCCCGTAGTGACTTTTGTTATGAAATTTTTTAACGGATGACGCCACACTTTTTGCAAAACAGGTGGGAGTATAGAGCGAAAGTCTCAGCAGAAGCTGTAGACTCACATTAGCATGAATAAATATTTTCCCTGAATTTTAAGCTATATGTTAAACTTGGCAACGCTGCGCCATCAAATGTCAACCGACTAACTGTCAAACCATCTAGTAGATGTTCGATCTAGGTTCATAGTTTTGGATCGCACTAGAGCTTAAATAAATGTTGATTTATAAAGCTTGTAAATCTTTCAATACACTGCATATGAAATTTTGATATGGAAGGATTTAGGGAGGATTTCACAATTTAACAAACCATTATTTTGAACCAATAGGGAACGAGTACCAAACAGACAGTCAAATATACCCAATCAGCCTCAAGGTCTCTCCGTCAAATTTTTGACAGCAAATAGAATCAAAGTGTTCAAAACAAATCACTGTAAAATATGAAGTGATAGCTTGTCATTGAAATGTTTTCAGTTTATTAAATATTATGAAATTATATAAAACTGAGCCAACATTTTAAAAAAAATGCTTGATCAATTTTTTTCAGTTTAGCTGCAGGTTTCTACATGTTTATTGCAACTTTTGTAATCCATATGCGATTATATTAACTTAACATCACCTACCGTGTGTTTATGGTTTATCCTACATTTTTCAATCAAATTTTTGTTAGGTGTTGCGTTTCATCACATTCATACACTTCTTTCCAGTTCCTCAATGACGTTTTAACACCACTGATCCGAAACTGTTCAAGATTTTCAACATTCATACATGCAATTGCAGTTGCAGTTTTTTGTTTTGATTTCAGTGTATAATCAGTCGCACTATCGGTGATGGTACATGGTACACTCAACATAACCACATATATGGGGGTTAGTGCAGATTTAACGTGGACACGACAGTGTAATATGTAATTCTGCACAAAAACATCTTAGAGGGAAATTTGTTCTTCCAAAGTTCCATTTCCCAGAGAGGTGTATAGTATAGTCACATATCGTGGTTCACTGATTTTGAAGTATATTAACATGTGAATGATACACGCTAGAGCTCAAAAATTTTATTAAAATGGAAAAAAAATTAAATAAAAATTCCGTTATACAGGGTGTCCGCAAAGTTGGGGTTTTCCTTTACACAACGTGTAGATCTTGAAAACATAAGCAATTTTTCTTAGTATCAAAAACTAAAGTGTGACAAACGCTGCGTGAAGAGGGGCTGTATCCGTTTCACGTCCAACGTGTACAAGCCATTCAACCTGACGATTTTCCAGCAAGAGTGCGGTTTTGTGAGTGGTTGTTGCATCAACATGACAATAATGCGGACTTTTTGAAGTGCATATTGGTGACAGACGAATCTACGTTCACGCGTAATGGGGTGAATAACTTTCGAAACACTCATGTTTGGTCAGTAGAAAATCCGCACGCTGTCCGTCGGGCACATTTTCAACAAACATTTTCGGTGAATGTTTGGGCTGGCATAGTGAACGGCAGGCTCATTGGACAATTTATTCTCCCAAATCGATTGGACGGGATTCAATCCCTAGACTGTTTACGTCTGCTCGGTAGCGCATCAGCTGATTTCATTTTCTGTTGGAGCGGTATGATTTCGGACAGAGACGTACTTAGCCCTTCTCGTCAACTGGAGAGTGAGTACTTTTTCCTTTATTTTTTTTTACTTGGTCGCCCTCGTTTCACTACACATTACCTTTGTTATTTCAAGGGTAGTTGTTTCTGAAAAGGAAAACCTCAACTTTGCGGACACCCTGTATATATATTTCATTTATTATGTTGTTTTGTTAAATACTGTTTCAGTTACTGATTTTGTTCATTTGTTGTTTTTGATACGATATTGTATTCGCAGTTTTGATTGCTTTGAAGAAATTCATTAACCCATAAATTGATAATGAATTATTATTACTATGATGTAACGAAAGATGAGGAATTGGTTGGAATACATTTTATATTCTTTTTCATGCAAAATACAAACAAATCCGCATATTTCAACAGGTATGTAGCTATAATGATAATATATAAACACTGAGTATATTGAACTTGACAAATTCGAGATTGTCATGCATTAACAAACGTCCAAACCCGCTATTCAATTTAACAGGTAGAAAATCGATCTATTATTTCTTGCATTCCCATTGGCTAAAGGGATAACCGATGTATTATATGAACATTCATAAGGAAAATCAAAATATGTACATGAAAGTTGTCCTGTTTTCTCTGTCCAAAAGTATCATGTTGGAATCAAAAAGTGCTCTCGCTTATAATACAATCGCTTTTTCACGATATTATTCATTAATTCAATAGAAATCACTGATATTCAGATAGCTTTGACATGTCCGTCAAATTGCATTTCGTTAAGGTCTTGGCACATTAGTCTAAGCATCAAAGATTAGTGAAATTGAGCCTTAATGTGTTAAACTATAATGCACTATAAACAGAATTTCTCTCAAGAAAACGTTGCTTCGATGGCAGGTACATAGGTTATAAATATGCGCTAAAAATTCGATCAAACCCGCAAATATCACGTAGATTTCACATTTGCTACCTCTTTTAGCATCATTTTGTATTCCACAACATAAAAATGATTTCTGCTGTTACGGAGAAAAAAATACCGTTAGTTTATCCACGCCAATTTAACGATTTTGTACGAAGTTTGAATCACAGACGTTGGCTTATAATCATAGCTCTTAAGAAACAGCTCTGTCCATTCATCTTGAGCTCTTCAACGTCTTCAATTCTACCTAGGCCACTGTGTCTTTGTTTTTCAAGCTGCTTGATGCCCCATCTTGAGGCATTCCAGTGAAACAAACCATATTGGTAAGGTATCGCTTTCTAGTTGCACCACGCTGTCTCGTGGGCACACACCACGGTCCCATCGTGCGAGGACAAGTTGCTGTCACATTCTTTCCCGATTGAGATACGCAATTTACTTAGCTTAATATGCATCACAACCTTTTAAAGTCTTTTCATTAGGCTTTGCTTTAACCTCAATGAAAAATTGCTAAAAATTGATATCATATATTGGTCGATCTCAAGAAGTTCTACCGCTTCAGATTTCAGACAACGCCAAAGCTGATATCTGGTAATATCTTGCAAATTGTATTATGAAAAATGGCATACTTATTCAAACAATTTTTTTTTTAGAAAAACGAACGCAGACAAAACAGTACCTTGTACCATTTGCCTGAAACCATTTCATACTAAAAAGGCAATGTACAATCACCGTTGTCTGATGCACAATATTGTTAAAGGCGAGTTTCCCTGCGATAAGTGTGAAAAAATATTTCCCTACGAAAAATCATTAAAAAGGCACGTGAAGAGGTTTCACAAAGACAAGAACAAATTCGAATGCGAGCTGTGCAATCGAGGATTCTCAGCGCCTTGTTACCTGTCTGAACATGTTCATAGAGTGCACGAAAATGTTTATAAATACGTATGTAATATCTGCAACAAAGGCTTCATACAGTTGAAGAACCTCAAAGAGCACGAGAAGATAGAACATGAGGGGTTTCGTTATACTTGCCAGCAGTGCGAAAAGTCGTACAAGAAAGAAGTCAGTTACAAGTTACATATGAAAACACACAACGAGGAGTTTGTCCAAGCAAAGTATCCATGTGAGCAGTGCTCCTCCATTTTTTCTTTAAAAAGACGGCTCGTCCTTCACGTAAAAAGGAAGCATTCTGATTGGAAAGGCACTGCTTGTGTACGCTGTGGAAAGCTAGCTAAGAATATGAAGAGACATCTCAGGACACATACCGGTGAAAAACCGTATCCATGTTCGCAGTGTGAGAAGTCGTTTGCCAGTTTCAGTGCCAGGCAAAATCATTTGAGAGTGCATACGAAAGAAAAACCTTATAGGTGCGACACATGCGATAAGAGATTCACACAGCGGAGTACCTTGGTGGTACATATGAGGTACCATACCGGAGAGAGGCCTTACAGCTGTCGTTTTTGTCTTAAACGGTTTGTGACCAAAACTTTGCTCAAGGATCATCGGTGTAAGACAGATGATGGATATTTAAGAGAGATATGTACTTGAGGATTTTTTATTTTCCTTTATTATTTGGATTTTTAATAAATGCAATTAAATATTTTGAAAATAGTCTTTGTTTCGGCCCAAGCTCAAAGTATAAAGAATATTGAAGGATGAAGGCTTTGTCAGTTTGTCCCAGTCGACAGGTTATTTCATGCTCCTTGATGCGTGTTTGGAAGCTACGTTTAGTGGTGCCTCACGGTGCGTCACGGATAGAATAGGAAGGTTGCTGCAGAATCACAACGTCATGACCATCTACAAGCCGACAAATAAAATCCAGCAACTCCTAACTTCAGTAAAGGACTCTACAGTATATTCAGATAAGAGATAGACCGGACATAAACAAGACCACGTGATCATCGAACGCTGTAACATTCGGCAGGGACGTATTAAGAGTCACGCAGTACATATTTTAGATAGTAGATGCTGCTTTGCGTAACTTTGTAGTAAATTAGCACAATTCGATGTGTATACGATTGGTGATGGATATAGGATCATGTGGGGGTGGGGTAAGAAATATATAATGATGTAAATATACATAAGGGTTTCAAAATTTTCGCTTCGATTTCCAGCTTCGGATGCCGCCTGATGTTTGGTGAAATACAGTCGAATATAATCTCAAAATGGCGTTTAAATTAGCCTAAATTAACAATAATCGTATATCTCTTAAAATTGCTTTTAGAATATTGATTAGTATATTTTTGATTTCTAGGTAAATATGTAACCAAATTAAAACGTTCAAAACGTAAAAAAATGTGCATGGTTGAACATTGTCAGAAAGTAGATTCTTGAATAGGTTTTGCCAAAATGGGTTCAAAAATGTCAATAATCAATTAAAAAATACAGTAGCTTTATAATTACTTATAACTTACCGAATTTGATGAACGACATCCTTTATTGGAAAGATGAGCTTGATGAGCTTTCATCATCGCTACTGCCTGAAGCACCAACGTCAATAATGAATGGCTCGACTTGTTCCTCTAAAATATTGTCCAGTTCCCACATTCTCTTTTCAACTTTGTCTTTCACGTGCTTAATACAGTTTTCCCATTTTTGCGCTGTTATTAATTCTAGTGCTTCTTTGAAAAGTCCTTTGAGGTCACAAAATTTAAAAGTTGTATTGTGCTTAGCTATATAATTTTTAACCTCTGCCCATATGAGCTCAATGGGATTGAGCTCGCAATGGTATGGAGGTAAACGGAGCACAGTTTTATTTTGACTTGCTGCCATTTCGTCAATGGCGTATTTTTGATATTCCGCCTTGTGATCCTTGACAATTCTTAATAATTGTACTTTCAGCATTGCTTCTTCAAAGTTGATATTTTTCGAGCGGAGCCAATTTTGAACATCAACTTTCCTTGAAGCCGTTGTTGGGACCTTCTCCATTCTTCGAGAATGATAAGGCGCATTATCCAACACAATTACTGCGTTTTCCTCTAAGTTCGGTAAAATTTTTGAAAACCACTGTTCAAACGATTCGCCATTCATTTCCTCGTGGTAATCTCCAGTTTTCTTAGACTCAAAGCACCACAGACCGTCAACAACAAATCCATCCTCACTGCCAATATGGCAGATAATGAGCCTTTTCCCTTTACCTGGAAATCGAAGTACTAACTGGTGTAGATTTATTTCAATAAGCGAACCTTTTTCAAATGTTTTCATCACATTCAGCGAAAAAACATTGAGACATGAGTATCAGATTGCTATAATTGGGATTATTTAGTCATATTGAAAGAAAGAATATTGAACGTCGTATGATTACTCAGCGCTTCACAATTTAATTTAAAGTTATAAACCTTTAAAAAATGAATGATCAGGAACCTGAAATACGCGCAAATATTAATATTAACAAATTATAACTTTATAAAGCTTAAAGTATGAATTAAAATGATTAGAAATATTAGGAACGGTACACAATATAAAACTTAGCAACTTTTTTTAAGTTTATAATATTCGACATATTTTAAGATTATATTAAAAAATTATTGAAATATCGAAAACACATAAAAACATGGCTTAAAAAAGTTCTAACAAATGAAAATGACAATAAAACATCCACGCATTTTATCGAAAGTTATAAAAGTTTTGTTACTTGTAATATGTTTTATCTGCCCCCTGGAATTAATGTTTAGAACCTTGTTCCCAAGGTTTGAAAAACATCCGATTGTTGTCTATTACTCGTATTTACCTGCTGGATTTTTTAATCCGGTGGACAGTCCATCTAGAAAGGCCCTCCTGGATGAAGTTACAGAATCATCAATCTATACTTTACTTGTAGTGTGTCCTGCGTTTACCCACGTTTCATCAAGGTAATAAATCTTCCTGTTTTGATTTCTATATTTCCCAATTTTTGTTAAATAATCCCTCCTCCATAGCACAATTTCTTCTCTATCCAGTAGTAAACTATTACGACCCCGTTTTTTCCATTTGAAATTTAAATGCTTCAGTAACGCATGGAAAGTTGATCGTTTGAAATTTGGCAACGTTGTATCTCCATTTACCTCCTGCAGTACTTTATCTATAGTAGGTATTTCATTCCTAAAGAAGAATTCATGCACTTTCCTCCTAATCGCATGCTTATCAGCTTCATCCAATGATTTAACAATACTTTTGCGATGTTTACTGGTCATTGGCTCAGAAAAGGTGTGATTTTTTTTGTATTGTCTTAACACATTAAACACTGATGCGCGACACACCCCAACTTTGTGAGAAACCTTCACAACAATTTCTTTGATGGTTGATGCCTCGTTCTCCTCGCGCTCGATCTTATATATATTCAAAATGACCTCTTTCATTTCTGCACTCAGGTGTCTTTTCTTAGAGCGTTTCGTAGGTGGACTACAGGAGTTTACAACTTCATCGTCAGTATCTGTACTACTGGGCATTTTGCGCAAGCAGTTGATAACAATAACAATCAATAACAAGGTATAACAATAACAACGACAAACTCAACAACTTAATAAGATAACAAACGAAAACGTCCAAAGAAATATCAAATTGCAATGATGCACACGACATACGTAACACGTCTGAACCTGAATGTGACTCTGCCTTGATACGACTGCTCTGCCGCTCGGCATAGGCATTTAATTGCGAATTGACCAATGAGGGCTCCTGTTTTACGTCGAGACGGCGGCGTTAGCGTGAAAATCACCCGAACCTTTTGTTTACATCCGGTCTATCTCTTATCTGAATATACTGTAGGGACCCCCTGAGCGGTGCCGGCGTATACAGAATACCGTGTTCCTGTGGTAAAGTATACGTAGGCACCACTAAACGTAGCTTCCGAACACGCGTCAAGGAGCATGAAAGAAACTGTCGACTGGGACAAACTGATGGTCACAATGTTCTGTTCGACCAAGCTGTCCTTTCAACATCCACCCACTACTCAGCCCGAATGTACAGAGAAGCAATTGTAATCTACGAACACGATGATAATTTCAATAGAAAATAAGAAGGCCTTGCTTTGAACAAAACGTGGTTGCCAATTCTAAAAAACACAGCGCGAAAGCCACGTCACTCAAGAGGCCCAGAGTACCCCCACCAGTCAACTCAGTCCTCAGTCAGCTGATCGCCTATAAAACCGCACGCTTGTCCAGTTAACCGATAAGTGTGAGTCGACCCGCCAAGCCGAGCACTTCGCCCTCGCCGACAGCGCCACTGAAGATGGCTACCGCAGATATAAAGAATATTATTTACTTATTCTCCAAGGCGACTCACCTCTTTAACTTTTTTATTATTGAAGATATATTGAGTGTTGCGTATTTTAGACGATTTTACATTTTTTGACATAATCACTTGTTTTGAAGTACTTCCGGTTTGACCGGAAACGACTTCAGATTTCGGTTTTTAAATGAGACACCCTATATATTTTTATGTATTTCCATCGAGAATGACATTCTGAACTCAACAACGCCTCACTTGTCAATATTAGACAAATAAAGTCGTTTTTATTTTTTGATCTGGAATGCCATGAATCCTGTAAATCGCTTCATTTTTGATCAAACAACATAAGAAAAATACGATTTTGAGATCAACGACCTTACAGCCGTTTTAAAGATTTTCTAAAAATTACAAACATTTTTTTTTCAGTTTACTTGATTTCTCAAATAGAAAGGGGTGGTTTGTCGGCTTTTTCTAAGAGACCACTTTCTTACGAATAATTTGACACCACACACTTATTTTATTTTCACTATTTTTCTGAATAATTGTAATTTGTAAAAAAATATTTTGAGAAACGAGAAAATTGACATGCTGTTGATTTACGGGGAAGCAAGGGAAAATGCAACTGAGGCAGCTCAAATTTATTCTCAGAGATTTCCCAATCGTCGCCATCCCACACGGACTTATTTTCCAAAACTGGAACGGAAAATGCGAAATGAACCAGAGGAAAGTGCCAATAACTCTATCGTCAGTGAAGAAAAGGTAATAGAAGTGTTGGCCTATCTTGAAGTGAACTGTACAGCGTCAGTTCAGCAAATTGGTTTAGGCCCGTATCGTCAGTCGTCCCTACAATTGTAGGGCGCCTTTATGGCCTCCTTGATTGTCATAGTTTTCTATTTTTCCATGTCAGTGCTCTATTTTGAGGTTATGTCACAAACATCTATTTGCATCAAATTGTGCTTGATTTTGAGTTATATCATGTTTTATCAGCCTGAAATTTCCTACAATTTAAAAGGAAAACATATCTTCACAATAGGAGAGCGCTGACGCTGACACGGGACGAGTGTAATCTAGAAATTTTTGAAGGAGAGAAAGTAGTATGACAATCAAGGAGGCCATAAACGCGCCCTGAAATTGTAGGGACGACTGACGATACGGGCCTTAGAATGTGACACAAATACGTTATACTGAGTGATAAAGAAAAAGGAAACACCTACTTATGTTTATCCGATTTTAATAATTTTTGGCATATATGTTCACAAAAAGGCTTCTTAATAGGCTACACGAAATTTAACATTTAACTGACACCGTAACTGCACGAAAACTGAACGCTCGTTTATAAACAATACAAGCAGCCACCCCAGAAAAACCCGACCATTTCATCACTTGTTGTTCATGGCAAGATAAATCGATATGTGAAATATTCTTGAACTCTAATAAACATACGTAGGTGTTTACCTTTTTTTGTTACTAAGTATACAGGGTGTAAACGTTATGGTAGCCATTATTGAAATGGGTAATAGGGAGGGTCAAAGCAAGTCAAAAAGTTCATAAGACCCATGGTCCAAAAGTCAATAAATTTTTGTCTAAATGGCTTTATAGTCTTTCTAAGTTAAGCCAAAATTTGTAGCCAGTAAGTAACTAAGTTTCATTAAATTAAATATTTAAAACACACATGACAACAGCGCGTCATCACTCTTATCGAACCGGCAATCTATCGCAAACGGTAACAGTAGTATGTTGTTTTGTTTTTGTTCGCGTACGTCGTCGTGTTAATTTAAAATGTTCTCGAATCAAGAGTACGCCGACATGTTTACGATGAAGCTCGTCAGAATTCAAATCTTGCAGCTCAAAGTTATCGCGACAGATTTTGCCAACGGGTACATCCAGACAGAAGGACATTTGTGCAAGTGTACGAAAGACTTCGAGATACGGGAAGTGTTCAGCCCGCTAATATTCGCACTTGTGAATGACTGGTTACTGTAGAGCAGGAGTAACAAATTTTACCACCAGACATTTTTAGAGGCGCCATTCAGTATTTGAATGAACATTATCCAAATCGCTGAATCGGTCGAAATGGTCCTGATCCTCGAAAATGGCCAGCAAGATCTCCTGACCTCAATCCGATGGATTTCTGGTATTGGGGAGAACTTAAATGGATGGTTTAAGGGGCTGGTCCAATAACAACTGAAGTACAACTTCCTACCTAGAGTAAGAAGGAACTGGGTTCGTCGCAATGAAGCTTGTGTGGAAAGTGGAGGACGACCTTCTTTGAATACAAAAAAAGTGCAGTGTGGGTTTTAAAAAGAAAAACTATGTATGTATCAAAATTGTGTTCCCTATTTATAAATGGATTTTTTTAATACGTTCAATAAACTTTCACACACCAGGTGAAACGCTGAGACAGTGCAAGTCCGTTTTTTTTAATTGTTTGCATCTTACGAGTACGTTATCAAATAACGAAATACAGCAGACGCTCGATAACGTAAACACGGGATAATGAAAACTTGCGCTAATGTAAGCACCAACTTCGTTCTATAGGATCAAACGGAACGCGCGATAACGTATACAATGTGTACGCTCGATAACGTAAACAACTCTCGGCGCACGGAAACAGCGCGACGGTAAAATGCTGAAGCCTCGATGATTTATGTCGGGCGTCGGGGAGTCCCCGATTTATGATGTGGAGTGTAGGGGATTCACCTCTGCGATAAAATACGACAAACTCGGTCAGTCGTATGATCATTTAGGATACGTTTATACGTACGTATGTATTTCATTTTTGAACTTAAGTGAATACATTGCACGCGTTAATATATTTTACGACTATGGCATCCACATCCTATAAAAGAAAGTGTTTAAAGGTGAGTGAGAAAGTGAAAATCATAGACGAAGTTGCACTAGGTGCGGGAGTGACACAGTTAGCAAAAAAGTATGGATTATCGAAAGCAACAATCTGGAAAATTAAGCGTATGAAAACTCAAATTTTACAAAGAACGTGCAATACATTTGGAGGTCCGGGAAAAAGAAAAACTTTAAAAAATGCGAAGGCACCTAAAATGGAAAATTCCCTGTATAAGTGGTTTCTAAAACAACGGGAAAATCATGTCTCAGTTAGTGGCGAAGTACTTAAACAGAGAGCGAGACTGTTAAATGAAAAACTGAAAGAAACTGAAAATTTCGTAGCTAGTGATGGCTGGCTACAACGATTCAAAACAAGATATGGAATTCGACTGCTGTCTATATCTAGTGAAAAATTATCAGCACAACAATTAGTGCAACCATTCAAAGAAAAATTGTTGAAAACAATTACCGAGCGAGATTTAAGAATGGAACAAATTTACAACGCAGATGAAAGTGGCCTTTATTGGAAAATGTTACCAGAGAAAACCTATGCTGCATCATTTGAAAAATCTGCCCCGGGAAGAAAGCCGGAGAAACAACGAATAACGTTTCTAGCCTGCACTAATGCTAATGGTTCACACAAAATAAAGCCACTGGTAATTGGGAAAGCAAAAAATCCGCGCTCTTTAAAAATGTTAATATCCCTGTTGATTATGACCGTTCAAAAACCGCTTGGATGAGTAGCAGTATATTCCTGAAATGGTTCCACAGGTGCTTTGTCCCTCAGGTATGACAATCAATTATCACAAATGCTCTAATCATAATTTGAAGATGTGTTTTCAATTTGTAGGTAAAAGGTTTCCTAAAACAACAGAAGCTTCCAATAAAAGCGTTGTTACTATTGGGTAATGCACCAAGTCATCCTCCCGAGCAATAACTGAGGAGCAGGGATGGGTAAATTTTCGTCATGTACATGCCGCCCAACGTAACACCGTTAATTCAACCGATGGACCAGAATATAATAAGACTCACCAAACTATACTAGTTTCTACTTTCGTCTGTCTTATCAAAGAATCCTGAAAACTTATCTGAGGCTTTAAAAAAGTATCATTACGAGAAGCTGTTTTACATTTACATATTGCCTGGAATGAACTTAACCAGCGAACTATTCAGAAATGTTGGAACAATCTCTTTTGTATCAATAATGAAGATGATGAAGAAGACGATGTCCCCTTAAGCGTAATTAGAGAACGTTTGCGATCCAATAATGATAATGTTATTAGTGTGTCATTGGATGTTGTTGATTTATTGAAAACAGTGAATCCCAACATTGTTTGTACTCCTGCTTATATTAATTTATGGAACGAAGATAAGCAGACGAATGATGGATAAGGAGGAGGATATGGACAGTGAGGATGATGAGAACGATCCCATTGAAGTCAGAAGTGTAGTGACTGACGCGCAAGCTATACAAGTTTTTAACCAAGCTTTAGATTGGGCTGAAAGAAAAGAAGTTTCATACACGGATATTTTAGTTCTTCGTAAATTACAGGCGCAGGCATTAGAAGATAATGCTAAGCGCAAATTTACGCAGACAAAAATTGTTAATTATTTTTCTTCTAATTAAAAAAATACTTATCGCTGTTAGAATATTTGTTTATTTTGTTATAAATAGTATGTATTAAACGTTTCTTTTAATAAATCAAATATATAAATCACGTTCGCTAATGTAAACATTTCGATAATGTGAACCACACTTGGATTAAATTAGTTTACATTATCGAGCGTCTGCTGTAATACATAAGAGCCAAAAATAACAAGCTCCATCTTTATTTACACTGCGTTCCGTCGTAATTTGCGTTTGGTATTGCGGCGTTGTCAGATTTTATTTTACTTTAAAGTCGCTTCTCTCTAAAAAAAAAATGTCGATTTGGTCTCCATGTTATATGAAACTTTTTTCTTCTTTTAACGCCCTCTATCACGCATTTAATTAATGACTATCATAACGTTTACACTCTGTATAATTATCGATCATTTAATCTTTACATTGACGACCGCAACCAAAAATTAACTTATTGCAACTAGATATAGAGAAGATTTTACCGCTGTATCCGAGATCTTAATGGTAGCAGTAGAATTTGAAACACTCTGTATATGTAATCTGGAAAAGTCCACCGTAATGGCGAAAACTCCAGGAAAGAGTAATGTGAAAAATTGCTGCCTTGATTCGGGTCTAAAGGCGGTCGTCGGTTGGAATTTCTTCCTAACGTTTCGCTAGCACGAGTGGCAAGCTTCTTCAGAGGTCTTTCCATTTCCGATGCTGGATGTAGAACGACGATTTCTTTTGCGCAGGTTGTATTTATACCGGAGGGTAGGTGTCGTGGCTTGTTCCGCTTCGGTTGACTTCGGGATGAACATGCACTAAGCAATGGGGACCACAGGATACACTTTGGGAGCAGCAGGTTGCTGTCATCAGTCAACGGCTATCACAATAGACTGGTCAGGGAAACTATCGAGATTCACAAACATCCAGATAACTTCAACAGGAAGGAAGAGACACTCAGACTCAACCCGATCTGGCACCCGATCCTCAGAAACCACGTCCCCTACCCTCCGGTATAAATGCAACCTGCGCGAGAGAAATCGTAAGTCTACATCCAGCATCAGAAATGGAAGGACCTCTGAAGAAGCTTGCAACTCGTGCTAGCGAAACGTTAGGAAGGAATTCCAACCGACGACGACCCGAATCAAGACTGGCCGCGAAAGCCTTATCATGTGCTATCATTTGGCGAGGGTAACACGGAATAAACATTAATTATTTGTATCGAGTAATCTCTAACGCCAAACTTCTTTTTAGACAAATGGAGCTAATACTTTGCGACGATTGCCTCAAGCCGTTCCCTAGCAAAAAGCTGTTGGATACCCATCGGTTCCTGGATCATAACGTCGAGGCCGAATATCCTTGCGATGTGTGCGACGAAACCTTTCGCGATAAACACCTCCTGAACCGACACATGAAGCAGAAGCACATCACGAACAAATGCGAGTTGTGTGGCCATAGGTTTTCGACAAAATTCTACCTTACAGAACATATTAAAACAGTACACGAGGGCCTTCGATATAATTGCCCGCATTGCGAAAGAACCTTTAAACAGAAACGTTACTACAACGCACATTTAAAAACACACAAACAAGGGTACGTGGAAGTGAAATACCCATGCACCCAATGTTCTGTCGCGTTATCTACACAAAGGAAACTGGTCGTACACGTGAAAAGAAAGCATTCCGATTGGAAGGGTACCCCGTGCACGTACTGTGGAAAGACGGTGAAAGAGATGAACAGTCATATCAGAAGAACACACTTTGGCGAAAAACCGTATCAATGTCAGTTTTGTGATAAGTCTTTTGCCAGTCTACATAACAAAGCGAATCATTTGAGAGTGCATACCAACGAGAGGCCTTACGAATGCGAAGATTGCGATAAAAGCTTTACTCAGCGTAATATCTTGAAAACGCATACTATGAGGTGCCACTCGAAAGAGAGACCTTTCAGCTGTGACATATGCTGTAAGGGGTTTGTGACCAAGACGTTACTCAAAAGCCATCGATGCAAGATATCCGAGGATTACTTCAATCAAGCTTCTGACTAGTCTAGGCAAAGTTTAATTCAATTGTACTGAATCAAATAAATATCAATATAATTTGCTTCGTTTTCAAGATCCATGACTTTACAATGAATGTGTTCTTGCTATTCTACCAGCTTTCTTCTCAGAGATGAAAAGTACAGACCACTGGGCTTCACAAAACATTATGCAACCATCAATGCGTGTAGTTGAGCCATTCCTCCATAGATGGTCGCTCACAACGATCCTAGTGAGCAACCGTGGAACGACCCTAAAAACTACCTAGTCTGCAAATTGACATTTTATAGGTTTTTTACGTAATACCTGTGCAGATTTATATTCTGTCAACAGAAAGTTCTCCGACCTCGCAAAATGCCCGAGAGTTTATTCAACATTCTCACTGACATACAAGAACACAGTATCAGATTTTATTTGACTCTATTGTTTGGGTACAATAGAAGGTGATTTATTCTGTTAAAATCAGGAGCCTGTAAGTTTCATATCGAAACGTTCAACTTTGTACTGCAATGGCCAATGGATCATGCTTCTGAAAACGAGCATTTAATTTGACTACGCTTAATTTTGGTTTTTTTAATATTTTTAAAAAATATACTAAGTGACATATAAATCCGAACACCCAGTTTAAATGGTTTTATTTTAATAAAATTTTGTATAAGTACTTAATGAAGCATAATAAGTAAATGATGATAATTTCAAAATGATTACACTGCTTTAAAGCCCTTTGACCTTTAATAATGTATGGATGCACCCTGATGTGCTACGCATTCTCCAACGCGCCTAGGCATGCTTCTGATCAGGTGGTCAATGTCCTCCTGTGGTATCTCATTCCAGGCAACCACCAACTCCTCTTGAAGTGCTTCTAGAGTCTGAGGAGGACGTTGCAAATTGAGCAATCTCCTACCCATCATATCCCACACGTGCTCAATTGGGGATAAGTCGGGAGATCTTGGTGGCCATGGTAACAATGTGACATCATTATGTTAAAAGAAGTCTATTGTGACTCTTGCAACATGTGGTCGGGCATTATCTTGCTCTTTGCGTACGGCCTTCTCGAAGCCATGCCTGACAACACCTAACCACAGTGTCTACACTTCTTTGCACTCTAACTGCAATTGCTCGTAAAGAAAGTCCAGCTTCCCGTAGTCCCACTATACGGCCCCTATCAAGCTCACTAAGTTGCCGAAATCGTACAGGTCTCCGTACTCTAGGCATCGTAACCGATCGTAAAGGATGTCAAGAACCTAAATCCGCCAACGTTGATTCTTTACTGCGGCTGAAATATTCATTTTTAGAGCGTTAGTGAATTAAAAAAAAAGCAGTATAAAACCCGGAATGTCCAACTGATAAGGCTGAACATTTTTTCACTTGTTATTTATAGTAAGATAAATACATTCACCAACTTTTATTAACCCATTTATGCCTGAATTATAATCTTTCAAGAATTTCGATTTAAGGGCTGTTTAGTGAAGTAAAAATAGTCTCTGATGTGATGTTCAGTCATTTTATTTGAGAATCTACACGAAAAAATACATTTTTTGGCTGTTAGTTTAATCGAACGTTAGGCATATATACGTAAAAATGAGTTAATTTTCAAGAAAATGTTAACACGCATACTTCTTTTTCTTAATTCTTAGTATGATAAGGAACAAAACAGTTCATATGTAATGCAACGTCGCATTTGTAGCACTTTTTTTGCACCGGCTTGTGACACACGCGACAACGAGTTGGCTTGTCCTGCCGCACTAAGTAATGTTCATTAGTGTTCATGAAACGGGATTCTGCATTTTCCAGACATGATGGTCTTCCACGTTTTCTGGACACCCTGTTAGTTTCCAATAGGGTCATGGCAATCTGTCTCCGGAATGTCAGTTGATCCATTGACCCTCCTTGCAGCCTATGTAAATGCCAGGAATTTTGAATAGACAAATCCAAAAGGTAAAAGATTAGACAGGAATACATTTTTTTCCTCGGATACTCGTACGATAATAACTAATATTCTCGTCACATCTGTCTACACCTCCCATAAATGCGTTGTATGCTTTTATGCACTGAGGTTGATCAACTGTAATCTTTTTTCTTTTCTGAAGCCTTGACACATGATGAATAGGATCTACTTGTAAATTGTTCGTGGCCACATTTACGATATTATTGTCATTCCACTTGACGATTAGTACTTTATTCTCGGTTGACCCGTAGTCATATGTACCTCTCGTAGTTTTTTTCATGTCAGTTTTTGACTGGACTGTGCATTTCGACATTCTGTTCTCCCGCACTGTCCCCGTACCTCTAATGTTATGCCGCAAAAGTTCCTCCAAAAGTGGCACAGTAGTAAAGAAATTATCGAAAAAAATGTGATACGGGAGAGATAGCATTTGGCGCAATACGGTACTGTAATGCAGCACAACGGATGGCCCTAAGCCAAACAATTTGTACATCGTGGGAATTTGAGTGTTTGATCCCAACCACACACAATAGCCAGCACAGTCTGAAGATGATATTGCACCCATCCATATTTTGAATCCATAACGGATTGGCTTCCCTTTGATGAACTGCTTACAGCCGAAGTAAGGTACCATGGACTCATCAACTGAGTGTGCAGCTCGTACGGGGCAAAAAAGTTGAAAATTTCTATTTATTGCTTCAAAAAGTGGCCGAACTTTCGCAAATCTATCTTGTTGAGATAGCTTGGAATTGTCACAACAATGCAAATCTGACATAATAAATTCGAATCTATCTCTTGACATGGCTGAAGAAACAACTTCATTATGGGTGTCTTTGCTATTCTCCCAGAACATACGACGGCGTGGAAGCTGGACATAACCACTCAAAATCAAGATGCCGAAGAACGCTTTCATTTCCGCTTCTGTGATAGTACTGTGCAAGACGTTCTTTTTTGAAGCGTACAAATTGCTATATTTTACAAACATATCGATGACGTTGTTGTCAAAAAAACTGAAAAAATAGTTCTGTAGGTGAGAAGTTTGTTTTCACATCGATGTACGTTGGCCATTCAAAAGATCGAGGTTCTAAATCTCTCTTTTCCCATAAGTAATTCTTTTTTATGGCTACTTGCAAGCTACGTAGCGGTAAATCATCCTCATCTATTTCATTTCCTATTTCTTCCTCCTTATCTTCTTGAGTAATGCCGAATAATTCAGCTTCTGCCATAAGTTGTGTGCCTGGCAGGTTACCAATGGTCATCAAATCCTCGTCGCCCGAATCTTCATCTGTCAAATCCTGACACGCATTTGTAGGGGGCTGTAAAATAATGTCTATCTCTTGGCTGTTAGGAAGTGTCTCATCATCGTCGTCATCCAGCGTATTCAAAATATCATCCAACGTCAAGCCACTGAAATACAAAATATACCCTTGTGTACCTGTTGTTCATTTTATCGAACACGCAAATTTACCCCTGCCTGGACAAAACACGTGTTGCTGTACGCCTGCTGTAAAGCAGCAAAAAGCATGTATATATCTTAGAGAATACGTATCTGTCAGCAAAAATCTGACTGATCATTAAAAGTTTGCAAAACTTACCGACAAAGTGTTAAAGATCGAGCATAATCTCTATCTATGTGCGCCATTGCGTTAAACTGTATCGTTTTTGCTACAAAATAACTACAACTAACCTAACAACACCTGTTTATATTTGAATGTGCTATGAACTTCCAAGCGTTAAAGCGACATCTGTGATTAAGAAGCGCAAGGCTCGAATATACGCTCATTTACAGTTACCTGCTCTCTGTTCGATTTTCCGGACAATAGGCATATATGGGTTAAAATAAAACCATTTAAACTGGGTGTTCGGATTTATATGTCACTTAGTATATATTCCTCCTATGAGTCTGTTTTTATAAAAACTCAATATTTCCGACCAGATTGATGAGAATCGGATGCCTTCTTGCTATTTTCTATTTGGTACACAATCTAATTTTACCTTGAAATATTCCAGATCCGAACTCTATTTTTTTATGTTTTCGCACTGTATCTAGATCGTCACGACTTCCTCACTACGTTATTTTCTCATTTTTAATGCAATTTTAATTCATTTAGAATCAATTTCTAGCATGTAAATAAACTTATTACGTTTTTCAGATAATTACTACGAGTCTTCAAAATGACTCACTCAAGTTTATGTAAAACACAAAAAATTTGAAATAATCGTAATTAGATTTGGTTGGCATTTTGTTGTTCGTTCAATGCTGACACTAAGTCAAAATAAAACATTATCAGGGCCATATACTTCATATTTTGTTTTTCATTTCATTAAAATCAATTCTCTATAAGTCACATATATTGCATTATGGATTATATAATTTAACTAACAACAAAATTGACGGGTATGAAGTTAGCAGTCAATTCTTCCGGGTATTTGTGTGAATAAGTTAGCAGCCATTTTTGGTATAATAATTTAGATTACAAATTTGTAAAAATAAAACTGGATCACTAAAACACGCGCAGTAAGATGAATTTCTGTTCCAAGATGATACGTAACATAAAATGTGTTGATTTTAACAATATAAAAAAATGGGTCGGTTCTGGATTTTTGCAATTCTTGTGCCAGTTTTTGATTTCCCCTAAGTACTGGTAATATTTTGCAAACTTTCATTTAAAATTTGGCACGGGTATTACGTATTTTGAATAGTGACAATTTTGTTTTTTTTTGTTGACATTTTGTAGGTTTTTTTGGAGCATAACGTTCGCTGTAAACTTAGCACTAGTTAGCAGAGTTGTACACTTGTTGTGAACTCGTTTTGTAGCTGTACGTGTTGCCTACACGTCATGATCCTTCAGCCGTCAATGTTTGGCTCTCATGTGATGTAACATCTGCTTCAAAGATGGCATTACCGGAAGTCTAAGCTGTAAGTCGTATACTATAGCTAGAAGGAAACGGCAATGCATAGATGCATAGTGAGGACTTGTGTGCTAATAATATACTAAGTGACATATAAATCCGAACACCCAGTTTAAATGGTTTTATTTTAATAAAAGTTGGTGAATGTATTTATCTTACTGTAAATAACAAGTGAAAAAATTTTCAGCCTTATCAGTTGGACATTCCGGTATTTATATTGCTTTTTTGTAATTCACTAACGCTCTAAGAATGAATATTTCAGCCGCAGTAAAGAATCAACGTTGGCGGATTTTGGTTCTTGACATCCTTTACGATCGGTTACGATGCCTAGAGTACGGAGACCTGTACGATTTCGTCAACTTAGTGAGTTTGATAGGGGCCGTATAGTGGGACTTCTGGAAGCTGGACTTTCTTTTCGGGCAATTGCAGTTAGAGTGCAAAGAAGTGTAGACACTGTGGTTAGGTGTTGTCAGGCATGGCTTCGAGAAGGCCGTACGCAAAGAGCAAGGGGCACTGGACGCCGCCGTAGAACAACAGACCGTGAAGATCGCCGCCTAAGATTATTGGCCTTAAGGGACCGTTTCTCCACTACCAGGTCCATTGCAAATGAATGGTTTGCAGAACACGGAAGACCTATTGGCATGCGAAGTGTTTACCGACGAATGAGAAGTTTTGGCTTGTTTTCATACCGGCCACACTGGGTCCTCCCTTTAACTCGAGAACACCGACGTAATCGCCTTGAGTGGTGCAGACAACGGTCACTCTGGGATCAGGAATGGAACAGTATTGTCTTTAGTGACGTGTCTCGATTTTGTTTAGGCATGCACGATGGTCGTGCCAGGGTTAGAAGGCGACGTGGTGAAAGGAGGAATCCACAGTTTTTTGTTGAAAGACATGTTCATCACACTGTTGGAGTTATGGTTTGGGGTGCTATAGCTTATGGTTCCAGGTCACCTTTAATCTTCATCAGAGGTAATATGAACGCGCAGCGTTATATCCACGAAGTTCTAGAACCCCATCTTTTACCCTATCCTGACACCCTGGCAGATCCAACTTTCCAACAAGATAATGCCCGACCACATGTTGCAAGAGTCACAATAGACTTCTTTCAACATAATGATGTCACATTGTTACCATGGCCACCAAGATCTCCTGACTTATCCCCAATTGAGTACGTGTGGGATATGATGGGTAGGAGATTGCTCAATTTGCAACGTCCTCCTCAGACTCTAGAAGCACTTCGAGAGGAGTTGGTGGTTGCCTGGAATGAGATACCACAGGAGGACATTGACTACCTGATCAGAAGCATGTCTAGGAGAATGCGTAGCACATCAGGGTGCATCCACACATTATTAAAGGTCAACGGGCTTTAAAGCAGTGCAATCATTTTGAAATGTTTATCATTTACTTATTATGCTTCATTAAGTACTTATACAAAATTTTATTAAAATAAAACCATTTAAACTGGTGTTCGGATTTTTATGTCACTTAGTATATGTGTTGACAATTCGATTGGATCCTTATCTCAAGTATACTTACTTTAGATTCATAGGTAGAAACTAGTTGCGTATCCACTTTTTCTTATTCATTCTGGAAATTACAAATGTAAATTTGCTGGATTTTAAAAATGAGAGAGATAAGAAATGATTATATTCAGTATTCACAGTTGAATTAGAAGTAATTACACACAAAGCGGGCGCCGTGGTGATTTACCGTAATTCTCCTCAAAGTTTTTGAAAACACAAAAAAAACCTAAAAAATCGTAATCTATAACTAATCTGCTTTCAGAAGGGACACCATTTAAATAACACGTCGGGTACAGCTAATAGATATACTTCATTGGCAGCATATTCAGTAATGAGTTTCTCACACAGAAAATCAGTTATTTTACACACATGCAGACCAATACACATAATTATCCAGATGCGATCTTGCTATTCAACCAACTTTCTTCACAGGGATGAAAACTACAGACTACTCGGCTTCACAAAACATATGCAACCATCAATGCATGTAGTTGAGACATTCCTCCATAGATGGATGCTCACAACGATCCTAGTGAGCAAACGTGAAATGACTGTTAGCACCCTAAAAACTACCTAGTGTGCAAGATGATATTTTATAGGTTTTTTTTGACGTTTTATAAGTTTTTTACATAATACCCGTGCAGATTTACATTCTGTCAATAGACAATTCTCCGACGTCGCAAAATGTCTGAGAGTTTATTCAACATTCTCACTAACATAAAAGAACATAATATCAGATTTTATTTGACTCTGTTGTTTGGGTACAATAGAAGGTGATTGAATTTGGCTAACGCCCTGACTGACACAACATCCCCTTCCTTGGCTATCTTGGAAAGTCACCTTACATTATTTTTACATCGTATTGGGAGCACACGACTCTTCCAGCAATTCAGCACGGTATGTACAATAAATTAAAATAGACATTGATTAATTACACTGGACAACAAATTTTAGTTTTTTAATTTTATCTTGTGGGAAAAGTGCACTTCTTTGTTAATTTTGGGGCGCTGAATCCAAAAATGATAATGAAATAAAAAAATTAGTTGCGGTTTAGAAAAAAAAATTTATTTTTAAGGATATATTAAAAAAAGTAACAAGATTCATATACTTATAAGAATCACTATATGCGCTGTCTTTTTGTTGTTCTTTTATGGATCCTTTCTGGAGCATCTCTACCAAGAGTCCAACAGTCGTCTGCAAGCATGGAAGGATTCCACTTTCCCTGGTACCTTTTTTCCATTGTTGAAATATCCTGATGAAAACGTTCGCCGTGCTCATCACTTACGGCTCCGCAATTGTCAGGAAAAAAGTCCAGGTGTGAGTGTAGGAAATGTATCTTAAGAGACATATTACAGCCCATCTTTTGATACGATGACAGCATATTTTTGACAAGGGTTTTATAGTTGTCAGCTTTTCTATTTCCCAAGAAATTAGTGACCACCAGACGGAAATCATTCCGAGCAGTTTTTTCAATACCTGTTAAAGTGTTTTCAAACTGTGTATCTTTGAAAATATTTCGAATCTGTGGCCCAACAAAAATACCTTC